AGTTGGGAGAGGAGTTCTAAGGCCCTTCATAATTTTTGAAGATTACATTACATAATACAATATTAATTTTACTCATTGCAAACAGTAAGCTACAAATGAGCTTTGTATTCCATAGAATGCAAAGTACTTAACTATTTCTAGGTAAAGTTAGATTTTAAGTTGTTTTTAAGAAGTTAAAGCTGATCACATAATCAATCTATTTTTTGGGTCAAGGATATACCCTGCAAAAATAGCACTTTCCTTTTATTTTACAACTTGAAATTCACATTCTATTAGACACTAGGGGCATATATGGGGTACTCATTTCCCAGAATCTTAATTATGGGTAGGACGAAGTCTCAGTGCTCCCCGTGAAGGGCCCCCTTGACCCAGGGCCGTCCTCAGGGATTCTTCAGGGGGGTGTAAGGTCATTTCAAACGACTGACGAACAGGGCCGCCGAGAGGTTGACGGGAACTTTTTTAGGTATGTTGCAAATGCTTTCCAGTGACTTTACCTCAGGAGTCTATTTTTCATACCAAAATTCGGAAATTTACCCAAAAAACCCGAATATCTTGCCCTTTGCGCGGAAATATTTAAACCAAATAGCAGTCCTGCCGACTGAATAAAATTGCTGGGGGGTGTCACACCTCCCGTATCTCCGGCCCTGCCTTGACCTACTGTTCAGAGTGTTAACAGGGAGAGCTTTTTTAAAAGCTTAAAAGCTAAAAAAATTTTTAAAAATATTAATTAATTAAATAATTAAATAATATTAATTAATAATTATTATTATTTATTATTAATTTATTTATAATAATTATTATTAATTTAATTAATTAATTATTAATTTAATTTATTAATTAAATTAATTATTTAAATTAAAATTTCCAAACCCTGCATAAAGGTTAGTCCAGGGACCTTCCTTGACAAGGCACACCCCCTGGGCCCCTGGCTCTTGCCGGGCACAGCCCTTAGGAGTTATGCCACTGAGGAGTGAACATCTGACCATTATTCCAGCCGGCTTGCTGTACTACTTTCTATTTACTTGAGCATAAAATATCATAGTAGAAGAGCTAATTCAGTCATAAAATGTTCAGTTCATAAACCATGATATGCAGGGCAAAGGTACTGAAACGTCTAGTGCCAAGGGTTGACCAGAGGGTGGGTACAATTGCATCTGACTGATTTCCCAATGAGTATGGAATACTCAGGATTACCAAGTTAATTGGTCTTGTGGAATTTTATGTGTATTATGTCTATAATGCCAATGGAGAAAGTGGATTACCACTTGCAATCTACAGCATTGATCTATTTTTCACAATTCTGCAAACTATTAATGGCAGCTGGCAATGTCACATGTAACACAAGGCCGTCAGAAGTGGGGGGGCTTGAGCCCCCCCCAAAATTTCCATTTGTATAAGCAAAACACACAAAATAACTAGAAAAGTGCAAAAGCAATTAAAATTTATTCAGATATATTCTTGAGTCCCCCCAATATTGATTTACTTCCGATGGCCTTGTGACATCCTGCCCAGATTTTTTTTAATTCTATAACGCCCTGCATATAAGGTTAGTACCCTATTGAATAACTTGCACACCTGACACCACTATAAAGAAAAATGGGCCGGCCATTGCTAATGTGCCGGTTGAAAGATAAGCATGAGCTACTAAGTGTGTTAGCTTATTTAGGTCATGGAACAAGACAATTACAAAAGTAGTAAAAGAGGACACATTAGTTGTGAATATGGTTTTTTTGCTATCCTCACGATAATGTTCACCCAGTATGAAATGAAAAGGTAGTGCACAACCTGTACAGAGTCGATTTTGCATGTTGGCACACAATTTGGCATTAAAATTGTATATTGTTGATTGCTAGGCGAACAGGTGAGGACTCTGAACCCGGCATTGCTTGACGAGTAAGATACTTAGCGTACTAACCCCAATTACACATAGCACATGAAATATCTAAGGTTACAAGGCGGCAATATATTTGTAATACTAATTATATACAATATCTCAAATGCTCAGATGTATGGTAAATTCAATTTGAAGTGCACCCCCCCCTTTCGATTTTTACACTCCCCTGTTGGCCAAGGGTGTGTACCTCTGTCAACCCCCCTCCCCCTATAAAACCCAACTGTTTTTTGGGATGGATTTACTGGGGGGGGTGCACCTCCCTAGCCCTGGCCAGGGGGGTGCTATTTTTCATGATAAAACAAAAAAATATTATAGAGACAAAATGAGATACAGTAATTTGAGTGATATCGATAACATGATAAGAAGCGAACTGTGAACAACAATTACAATTCAAATACAGTAGTCAAGCAAGACTTGACCTGTAAGTTGATGGGCGGGTGGCATGCATGACCAACATAACTCGGCATTAGAGCTGGCAAATTAAACCTCCCTCCTACCAGATCATGCTGGATCCATCCCTGGCACCATGACTGTTAGTGTTGGTGCTAATTAAACAGTGCAATCTTGAACGGTCTGTGCCAGGCTAGATAGAGACGATAACAAGATAACTATATATAACTTAGTACCTGAAAAATTCAAACAGAACTTCACTCGAAAAGTCAATAATTTGTACATTTCGCATGGATTTTCAAGCTCTGTGGATTATGGAATATAAACTAGGCTGTTATTACAATTTTCAAAATTGAAGTTGAAAGTGTCAAAAATTTCTTATCTTGGCCAATCTATTTTTTACTTTTAAAGCATAATTCACTGAAACATATAGATATTAATTTAAACTTAATGTTTGAGAAAAATTCTGTTATAAAATCTTTTTTCAGATTACTCAGATAAAGAGTAAGATACCTGGCATTTCAGAATATAAGTTCTACCAACCAAAAAGAATAAAAAGATCAAAAAACAACAATAGAAATTATAGAATATAAACTCCATTTAAACTCCACTCCTTAGCTTGGCGCCATATTGAATTTCGCGGTCACGCTGATAAAGGCCTGGGGACTAGGTGCTCTACCGTATCTGAAATAGCCTTCACCATATAAAGCAGCACAGTCAAACGGCATGTAGTAAAAGAAGGAACACCGGAATGGCGGAATACCGGAATGGCGGAATGCCGGAATACCGGAACACCTGAATGCCGGAATACCGGAACACCTGAATACCGGAACACCTGAATGCCGGAACACCGGAATAGTATTTTTACTTTTGAAGGACAATTTAAAAAATATTTCAAATCCATAAGGAATTTTTTATTTAAGGCGTTTAAACATGAATAAAAAATGTCAATATATATACAGTATTATTCAATGCAGCAGTTTAGTAGACCTTATTTACAAGGATATCAAACGCACACAAACACTTAATAACGCGATGTCCCACAAGACAATTAGTCCATCACCTGAGGGAGTTCTAATACTCATCTCAGGGGAACAAACGAAACTGATCGCATATGAAAGCTTAGCGTTTTAGCTTTCAAAAAATGTCTTGGCGGACGTTCAGAACGGTAGCTTTCCTATAGAATTTCGACTTTGAAGTGACGTACTTCGAAGCAGTGAACGGCCGCCATTTTGTCTCTCAGAGAAAATCCCGCCTAAGAATATTCAGACATAGACAACCCAAAAGGTGTTAAATAAAGAAGGTCTCACCTCAAAGAATTGTAGCTGCATGCTTTATACATCTTTTGACATACTTAGAACTCTTTATTTGATCATTTCTTTAAAGTTTAACGTAATTAAATTTTACTTTAACGTACCTCTTCGCCTTCGTTGACGAACTGTTCAGTATATGCTGTCAATTGTTAATTAATTTAAATGAAAATTGAAAAGACTCTAAATTTTTACCAACTGTTGGCATAGGGTTTATAATGAATGATGACACCCCCCCCCCTGCCATTTTTGGTCTTGTGACCATCCCCTTTTTTTACCTATCCACCCCCCCCCCGATAAATAATGACCGGTACCTTATGTAGAATTGCAATGTTTAAGAGTTATTTCATTCCCATTGTTGCATGTGGTTCAATTAATCATTCTTCGTTTTGTTTGTTGACAAGTATCGTCCATTGGAAGTATTTTCTTTATTTCTAAACATATATAAATGAAGTATAAATTGAGGATAGTTTGTTACTGTTGATTTTAGAATTATTCATGAAAATGAGTGAAACGTTTTGTTATTTGATTTAGCGAAGTTATACACTCACTCAACTGCCAATTTGTTCTCTTTTATGCTTTGGTATCAAAATTTTGCAAACTGTAGAACTCTTCTCTTACCTTTTAACATGTGTGTTAGTCATCTTCATCGTCGCTATCGGCGCTGAGAACTGTTTCATCATTTTCAGATTGCATTTTATCACAATTCAAACTGCACATCTCGGTGCACTTGAGACCTGCTTTGAGGCAGCAGCATGTATCTTCTGTACACCTGCGTTTGCAGGTGCAGGAAAGTAGCTCCATCACTTCTTCAGGAGCGGGATTCGAACCAAGTCATATAAATTTTAAAGTGGAAGAGCTCACGTTCCAGCCATGCCCATGCGGAGAAGGGATATCAGGACACGCTTCTGTAGCTCTCCTCCAGATAGCAGCCTGATCGTTTGCACGAGACACATGCAGCCGCAACGATGACTGACATGGCGGCAATGCTTCTGGTGCGACCTTGCCACCTTTCGCATAATGGAGCTCATATCGCAATGAATCCACACTCTCACCCTTCTTTCCATATAAACGACACACGAACTCTTCTGTTGCGCTAAATGTATCATCGCTTACACTCCATTCCTTGCCAATGTCTTTCATTGTCTTCACATAGATATGATTCTTGACAAGCATCTGCATTGGCCGCAATTTGCCCTTCGAAAAGAAGGCTGACACTGTGTCGCAACCTGTTAACGCATGTAGCCCCATTAAAGCCTCACAAGCTTCTTGTTTTGTAATTCCATCTGCTACTTGCCTTTCCAGTTGATTAGCAATCTCAGAGATCCCGACAATTCTACGCTTTGATCCATTTTCCTTCTGCAAGTAGCACTTGCCCAGGTTGTGGGCGTGGCCAATGAGTAGTATCATAACGTCCGTATCTTCTGAGTGGATGACACACTTGCCACCTGCATGCTTGGCGTGTAGGACCATACGGGTATCAGCCTCTTCGTGGTAGCTTCTCAGCTCTGGTACTACTCTGGCCTCTGACGAGCTGATTTTCCAGCACGTTTCCTCTTCAGTTACGTAGAGTGTTTTGTTGAGAAGCTTGTCTCGATACTGCTCCTGTTTCCATTGACCCACGAGAAACCGCACTAACTCAGTTTTGTTGGCTGATACACTCAGGATCTTGCTGCAATTCTTCACTTGGTAACCGGGCAAGATGTTCTTGTAAGTAATCCCTACTGGTCCTGTTGCACGTTTCGATCTTTCTGCATTCTTTATGGAGATATCCTTATAAATATCAAAGACAACGTCAATTCGCTTGCTGGAGTTGCTGGTTAACATTGTGAACAAACTTTCAGCTAGAATTGCAAATGTGGCTCCAGGCGGTGGTTTAAACTTCTGAAGCACAGCCATTCCGTCATAAATACTTGTAGCATCGAGTGGATAATAGTCCTTGATGACAACTTGCTTTTCCAGTTGCTGAGCTAACTTGGCTTTGTTAGTCTTTCTTGGAAGACCATAAGGATCTGCTAGCGCCCAAGGTAGTGGTCCGAGAGGATATGCAAACACCAATCGCATGTCTATCTTGCGAAATTGTCCCAATAACGCCATCCTCGCGAATACGTCTCAATCTAGTTTGATAGGAATTACAGCATCCTTAGAACGAACCTTCTTAACAGCTTTGAGATTCTTGAATGACTTAAGCTTGAGCTTTGTCAGAGGATCAAAAAAGGGAACACTTTCATCAGATGAGCATCGCTGTTCCACGAATTTCCTAGACGCGCTTTTTCCTTTTTCATTAGCCTGAAGTAGGTCATCTCTGACCTCAGGAGTTGCTGATATCCCGCTTGACAGGCTAATCAGGTGCACGACGTCTCTGTTCCACGGATTACAGAAAACATTCTCCAAAACGTCAACCACATTTGCTACAGCTTCCATGTCTGATCTTATATGGGAAGGTGAGAGCTCTTTGTGGGGCTTGTTCTCAGTAGACAGCAGAGATACGTGTTCGCGGAAGAGTCGTCTGTATGAGCTGCGCCTGGAATTGTTCAAGACCCACCGCTGAGTCGCCGCGAAATTGGCACTGAATCCGATGTAGCCGCCACTCGTCTTGCAATCCCTGTTGATCGTATTCTCGATGGTCTTGTCGGCCTCGTTTTGACCAAATGGGTTACTTTTCGACATCTGTACACTGAAATGACTGGCGAGAAAAGCATCATAAACCTCTGGCATGACTGTTGGCAAAGCACGCATATTATTCAGGTATGGAATTAGATAGCGCGCATAGTTTTGCCGGTCGTAGGCAAATGTCCATGGTATAACTGCTTCGATACAAGAGAGATACAGTTCTCAGTTGACTGTTCTCGTTGCGTTGATCAGATCAAGTAGGAGTTCACAGAGTTGCAAATACGTGATCCAAAATTTTGCAAGATCACTGCCATTCTGCCTTATGTCAGCTACGTGTTCCTGGAAACGGTTCTCCCACTGCTGTAGCAGCTCGCTCTCCAGACCTGCTCGATTTCTTCTTGACAAAGATTGAGCTTGAGCTGATCCAACTGCGTTTTAAGGTCACTTAGCAATTTCAACAAATCCTCATGCAAGCAATCTTCAAAGTCGTCTAAAAGTAGCTTGGTCATCGCCTCATACCGGGTGTCCCAAAAAAAAGTACTCCTGTTTGATTTGTAATAACTTTTAAACAAATAAAACTATCAAACAGAAATAAATTGCATTCAATAGAGGAAGGACTAACTTAGATTTTGATATGTTACAGTTGTATTTTACTTAAGAATTCACGGAGATATTAATGTTCAAAATCGGGAGCACATTTTGGGATGTGTCTAAAATTAGCGAAAATCGGCCTATCAAATATTAACTCCAGCGTTTGTTTGCTTAATGACATATCAGGCTAACTTGTATTTCAGCGAATTGTCGTTAGGGTTTGTAAGAGATATGGCGTAGATTTAGACATCTTACATGTATGTCTTAACTCATTTTGGGACACCCGGTACATAATCTTGTGGAGTCTAACGCCTCTGTTATAATGCTTGCCGTTTAGAACGCTGTCAATTGAGTCTTCAGCTATCACCTCACTGTGCACAGCTACATCTCTGAGGCCAGCGTCGCCAAAAGTGAAAACGGTTGCCGATGATTGCCAGTATAGTGTGATCAACAGATGAAACCCACCCATCATTACAAATAAACCTTGAAATTGCTCTTTCTGCTTCCAAAGCACTTTCATGGCTTTCGCATAGAACGCCTGATCAAATACGCAAGCTACTGCATTCAGCTGAAGCTTGTTTTTGATTTCACGTCCGCGGCAGAGTACCTCATACGCCGTCTTAAGATCTGTGGCTGGCGAGTCCAGTGTGTCGAGGTATCCGATTGTGCTTTGACAGCGATTTTGTCGCGAATCTTTATGAAGAATCCGGTCCAGCTGGGAACAAGCAGCAACGGATGAGTCTTCAGCTTCCTCAGTTCGATCCACACGAGATAGTGAATGTGCAGTTTCCTTGACATTTTCTCGTAGGATGAGGTAATACCGAGGTGTTGTATGTGTGACAGGACTCCTGGGCCGACCCGCCTACCTCCATAGTAATCCGGAATCTCTCTGCTAATTACATCTGCTGATAAAGATCGTTTGCATTTCCGTTTCACCGGGGGGTGGTATTGTTCACCGTCGCCCTCTAGGTTCTCCTCAAATGTCTCTTGAGGCTGTCGTAACAAGAATGGAATTCACCCGGTAGGAGGTGCCGGCTCCACTCATCGTACATTCCAAGTTATCAATGTTGTCCGCTACCATGAGTGCGACGGATAGGTTGTTGAACTGTTTGCATTCATTTGGGATAAGAACACGATTTAACGTTTGTTCGTTAATTACTTTAAGCGCAAATTGCGTCTCGATTTCTTCAACAAGATTATAACCGATTCCATGGCCACATCTATTAATAAGTTTAACAACTTCTGTATTATTACACAAGGCTTTTACAGCAGATGGAAAAAGTACACTTTTAGGCGTCTTAATTGCTCCGTTAGATACGGAGTAGACAATGTCCTGTGCCAATGCGGTCAGACCTGCTTTTGTCCCTGTCCAATAACTGGCCAGACAAAAGGATGGTACAAAAGGTATCTAACAATTCAGGAACACAGTCGGCTACCCTATCAATACCTAGATCTTTTTCTTCGGGGGGCCACGCCATTGCACGGGGATGGTATTTCATTTTCTCGTTGAGAATTTTCGCTGCGTTGATTACTGTTTTTGAATTTTCATCCAAGGATGTTTGATTTGCAACGTCACTTTTAAGCTCAAAGTTTTCCACTACGACTGTCTCTAATTTTAAGGTGGAAGGATACATCAGAACTTTATTTTGTTGGTAATTAAGAAATACTAGCTGTTCGAACTTATTAGATATTAAACGCAAGAGGTTTTTATATTGAGATTGTGTTACTACCACACCCAATTTATCTGCCTCGTCTGATAGGACATTCCTAACTTCTTTAAATTCTACGACTCTTGGGTTTGATATTAAGGCTTCACAGAAGGAGTAGACAGCTTCATACACCTCACCATTATTATTCCCCATAGCTTCAGTGGGATTATTGACGGCTTCATCAGTCTCGTACATAATGTGAACAAAAGCTTTGTAGCATGAAGAATGATATTTCGCTTCACTACTTATCAAATCCTTGGCGCAAATACCAGAAATATTTGCAGCAATGGCACTCATATTAGTGTGTCTACTAAGGTGCAACGACGCGCTTTTTCTAACCGTGTCATCTGCTCTAAACTCTTGGACGCCGTGCAATTTCTCTCGTGTTTTTGTTCCCGGTTTGTATTTTGGCTTCTCACAAAATATGCACGTCTGGGGAAGCACTGCTGAATTTATGGCCGATCTATCCACATCGCGACTACCCCTTCTAACTTGGGGCTGGTCTTGTCCTGTTTTGCTACTCTCCGCGGTTTTCTTCGATAGAGATTGAAGATTTTTCTGGTTTACAAACCCTTTTCTACAAGTAACATGATACTTCACAGTTGATCGAGGGAAATCGTGTTTACCATGCGACAAATCTAGAATTGGCGTGAATTGCCTAATTTCTGCAGCACAATACAATCTCGCCCAAGACTCTGCATCTTTACACTGTGCCAAATTCTCATCACTTTCGCTACTGCAAATTACACAATTCTCCATTTTGAAATTTTCTGATCAAGTAGAAATAACGCACTAACTACAACATGGACTCCAAGCCTGTTCGTACAACAGTTCCAGACTGAATGTCTGATAAACAAACAAGCAGTTGAAAGGTTTTCGCATTTTATTCTACAAGACTAGAATAACGTAACTATAGAATTACTATAACACAATAACTTTAATTTCTTAAGTTTTTATGATAGCAATTGCTGGTGGGTTTTTCCCGTACGTTTAAAAGAAAATTTGAAAACTGCTGTATCATATTTTAAAATAAAAACTAATGAAGTATGATCGTCACGTGATTTTGTTTTGATCAATTTTGAAATGTACGTTAGTCGAAGACCTGTATATGAGTTTGTATGCATTTCATTTAGGACAGATAATTTCAACTGTTTTAGGGCAAGTTGACCATGACGGTCAACATGGTAACGCTGCCCGAACCCCAATCCGGGACGAAACGTCCGAAACTGACCACACCCAAAAACGACGCTTTCGCCATGCTGCTATCTACCAAACCATAAAAGCTTTGGCTATTCTGAGGTGCTTATATGGTTCAGAGATGGTACTTTTGGGGTGGTCATTGGTAAGTGTGAAATGCCTAGCACTAATATTTCACAAGAAAATGACCATGCAATAATCATAGTTAAACGTCAATTTGTGGCTTGCAACTTCAGATAAACAGCACTGCAGTGGACTTACATTACCTTTTTTCCTAAATCTTTTTGATAGAAACATAATTGGTACTTATTTAAATATTTTATCACTGGTTTGGTGTAAATAGTTAATATTTTCTGACCGAAATAATAATTTGAAATGTGCCTACCTCCTTCAAATGGACGTATTTGGCCAAGTTCTCCACTTTACTCCGCTGTTTATCGGCGATCTCGTCGACATCCTACAAAAAATGTAAATCATCTCAGACATAATGGTATCAAGAACATTTTAAACAAGTTTCAACTTGGTTTCAAGTAGATCATACCTGTTTAACCATCGACAAGGTAAATCCCTAACTTTGTCCAAATTCGGCGCCATTTTGTCATCCCATGTCGGTTGTCAACAATTCGGCCTTGTTACTCTTCCATTCGCGCCATATCCATTGCACAAATAACAAATTTAACCCTTTGTTAAGGGTATTAAAATAAAAATACAAATGAAATATGCGAAATGCAGCATTTTATCACCCGGTAAAATGTTGCTTACGAGTCCTTCGAAACATTTCGTACAAATCTCGCGTGGCAAAGTAACAGGGACGTGACAGGGGGATAGAGACTTGAAAAATGAAAGCAAAGCCCACACAGTATCGTAAAACCATTAAACCAACAATCAGCATTTAATTTGTATGACTTGTTCATATTAATAAATAATAATATGTATATATTTGTCGCTACAAGAAATAAAACAAACGTTTGTATGATTGTCTTTAGCTTTTAGTCTATTTCACGCAGCCTTCTTCTATCTTCGTGAAATAATTCACCCCCCCCCCTGTCACGTCCCTGTTACTTTGTCACGCGATATTTGTACGGAATGTTTTGAAAGACTCGTGAGCAAGATCTTACAGGGTGATAAAATGCTGCATTTCGCATATTTCATTTGTATTTTTATTTTAATACCCTTTTTAACAAAGGGTTAAATTTTTTATTTGTGCAATGGATATGGCGTGAATGGAAGAGTAACAAGGCCGAATTGTTGACAACCGACATGGGATGACAAAATGGCGCCGAATTTGGACAAAGTTGGGGATTTACCTTGTCGATGGTTAAACAGGTATGATCTACTTGAAACCAAGTTGAAACTTGTTTAAAATGTTATTGATGCCATTATGTCTGAGATGATTTACATTTTTTGTAGGATGTCGACGAGATCGCCGATAAACAGCGGAGAACTTGGCCAAATACGTCCATTTGCAGGAGGTAGGCACATTTCAAATTATTATTTCGGTCAGAAAATATTAACTATTTACACCAAACCAGTGATAATATATTTAAATAATTACCAATTATGTTTCTATCAAAAAGATTTAGGGAAAAAGGTAATGTAAGTCCACTGCTGTTTATCTGAAGTTGCAAGCCACAAATTGACGTTTAACTATGATTATTGCATGGCCATTTTCCTGTGAAATATTAGTGCTAGGCATTTCACACTTACCAATGACCACCCCGAAAAGTACCATCTCTAAACCATATAAGCACCTCAGAATAGCCAAAGTTTTTATGGTTTGGTAGATAGCAGTATGGCGAAAGCGTCGTTTTTGGGTGTGGTCAGTTTCGGACGTTTTGTCCCGGATTGGGGTTCGGGCAGCGTTACCATGTTGACCGTCATGGTCAACTTGCCCTAAAACAGTTGAGATTATCTGTCCTAAATGAAATGCATACAAACTCATATACAGGTCCTAGACTACGTGCAGAGTATGCAGATATGTCATTTCTTTTCTTAACTTATAGTTTCTGATAAAATATAAACTATATCTAGAAAATAAAAAAAACACTTTTATGTTTTTCGGTATCCTCCATAATTAACAAACTCTACAGTGTACTAACTACAAAATTATTTTGTTTTGAGTTTTGTTCCATATTGCTAATAAATATGCGGGTTTTCCTCTGTGTGACAAATGCGTGACAAAAATTGCTGCACAGTTGAAAGTAGAATTTCTTTTGGAAAGCTATTAACACCCAGACAAACTGCTTAGATATTTTTGAAAGCTTAAAAGACAAGGTTTTATATATGGTCCGTATAATTTGTTCACTTCTAATTACAAAGTTTTAAATCAATTCGGAATTGTTGACAATAACTACGAGACTTTAAAGTTATTAAACTACGCTACAATCGCTACTTGATGGGAGTGAGAAAGTATCTGAAAACCTTAAAGAAATGATCAATTAAAGAGTTCTAAGTAAATCAAAAGATGTATAAAGCATGCAGCTACAATTCTTTGAGGTGAGACCTTTATTTAACACCTTTTGGGTTGTTTATGTCTGAATATTCTTAGGCGGGATTTTCTCTGAGAGACAAAATGGCGGCCGTTCACTGCTTCGAAGTACGTCACTTCAAAGTCGAAATTCTATAGGAAAGCTACCGTTCTGAACGTCCGCCAAGACATTTTTTGAAAGCTAAAACGCTAAGCTTTCATATGCGATCAGTTTCGTTTGTTCCCCTAAGATGAGTATTAGACTCAAATTTTCGGCTTCTAGGTGATGGACTATTATGGTGTCTGAAAGATGAAACACGGCCCATTATTTCATGAAATAGATACTCGTTTTCAACATCCATTCAGTCACGTTTCTACGCAATGTTTTAGAGTTTTTCTATGCAGAAATGAAAGCCAGGATATCAACCTTATCGGTTTTAACGTTCAAAGTTCTATTGACGCTCAGCAGTTCGTAGTGAAAGCGGGAAAAAATTCACGGTCTTTGATAAAAGTTTAAAGAATTTTATTTCGATTTTTACGTGTTGTATCATAAATATGTATTTCTTGAACGATAGATTATTTGAAAACGGTGGTTTTTCGTAATTGTTTGTCACAAAAGTCAAATAATGGAAACAAGTTAGCAATAATGGACAAATCATGCGGCCAGTTCTAAGAGACGCGGGCGGAGGACGGGAAACTAAAGTTAATTTGGAGTGGCCTTACAATCACGTGCGAGACATATTACCACCCGATAGAGTCACACATACGACAAAAGAATGCTATTTTTACTTGCTCGTATCTATGAATTCACAATTGTATGAATCGTTAGATTGTGATCAACGTGGATTTCTTAATACGATCTCGTTTGATATAAACGTACGTTAATGAATAAGTGACATTTTAGTTACAAGCCTGGAGATGGTTGTCAAAATTCAGCAGAGTTTATGTGTCAGTTAGAATGAAATGACATGTGAAAACATTTAGCAAGATTGAGGCATCAAATGCGATATTATTCTCTTATCCAATCTTTTTTGTTTTTGTTATCACGTTATTATTATTGACAGTGGCGGAAATCTTGGTGGGGGGAAGGGGGGGGGGCGGCCGCCCCCTCCACCTTCCGGGAAATTGACGAATTTTCGGAAATTTTGATCTAAAAGAGGGCTAAAACAGTCTTTTCGAGTGCAAATGGTGGATACGTCGGAAATTTCAAAGTTTTGTCGGAAATTTAGGAGGCTTTCCCCCCCCCCCCCCACCAGAAAAATTGAATTTCCGCCACTGCCTGCGATTCCGGTGCAGCGCTCTAACCAACTCAGCTACCGAGATCTAACCACAAGTGAGGTATTTTATTTCGATGTTGTTTATGTACCCAGGGTTTATACGTTGAAAGGCTTAAATATAGAGTATGTCTGGAACGGCTAAAGAGTTTGTGCATATGACATATGAATTCGTTGGTTTATACAGTTTACTTATATGAACTGACTTTGTTTATACTGGATGTATCTCTATCAGTCCCGAACTCTTCTCCCATCACAGGTCCAGTAAATGTCATCATTCCCTATTGCTACTACAGGAGGAAACCTAAACTAACTTTATTTATACCGGATAGCTCTGTCTGTTATAAACTGTTCTCCCTGGAGGTCCAGTAAGGATAATTTCTTATTCATTCAGTGTTACTACGTACAGAAGAAAACCTAAATTAAACTAACTTTATTTATAGTTTATACTGGATAGCTCAATCAGTTCTAAACTGTTTTTCCTAGAGGTCCAGTAAGGATCATCTCTTATTGATCCAGTGTTACTACAGGAGGAAACTTAAACTAAACTAACTTTATTTATACTGGATAGCTCTATCAGTTCTAAACTGTTCTTCCTAGAGGTCCAGTAAGGGTCATCTCTTATTGATCCAGTGAGACCACAGGAGGAAACCTAAACTAAACTAACTTTATCAGTTTTACTAAATTTTCCACTCACCAATTGTTTGAATAATTTCTCAGATACTTCAAGACTCTGGCCAGGAGCTGACGTGATCTTTACCGTCTCCATGGCGACCATACATTCTCCAATCAAATTCTCGTCACCTGATTCCTCGTGCTGCAGCACGGTCAGGACAAACTGAGTCTGGTCAAGGTCAGTGTCGCACACATTAAACTCAAAGTTATGTTCATAAGATACCCTATGTACCCCTATTTGTACCTCACTGTTCTGTTTATCGTGTGTTATCCCTACTTGGGACTCTATTGTCACAAATGTCTTTGACATACTACTATAATCCCATGGAAACAAATCTTCTGCAGTAACTTGTTTCAAAACCAAGAATTGATTAGAAGCGTTGTACTCCATAGTCAAAGTCAGTCTACCGGTGAACACGCGTTCCTCTTGATCAGCCGCATTTTGTCCAGTTTCTTCATGTAATCTTCTACTGAATACGCTTTCCTCTTGGCCAGTGGCATTGTGTCTAGTTACTTTATGTAAAGGTATATTACAGGGTTCGGCGTTAGTTGAGCAGTGTCCGTTTTCTAGTTTGCAAATACTACATTCTGATTCCTGGCTACTCTCCCGACGCCATGGTAGACCAATTGAAACCTAAAACAGTGTTTAACGTTACGTTACAATTGATTTGACTATTTTAGCTTATTTTAATTTACCAAGAAGATTTGCTAGGGTATTACTGGACCTCTAGAGAGAACAGTTTAGAACTGATAGAGCTATCCAGTGTAAGTAAAGTTAGTTTAATTTAGGTTTCCTCCTGTAGCAACACTGGATCGATAAGAGATGATCCTTGCTGGACGTCTAGGAAGAACAGTTTAGAACTGATAGAGTATCCAGTATAAATAAACTTAGTTTAATTTAGGTTTCCTCTTGTAGTAACACTGGATCAATAAGAGATGATCCTTACTGAACTTCTATAGGAAGAACAGAGTAGAACTGATAAAGCTATCCAGAATAAATAAATAAAGGTAGTTTAGTTTAGGTTTCCTCCTGTAGTAACACTGGATCAACAAGAGATGATCCTTACTGGACCTCTACGAAGAACAGATTAGAACTAATAGAACTATCCAGTATAAATAGAGTTAGTTTCGTACTTAATTTATTGCTTTACGTATTGGCGAGATGCCTTAACTAATCAAACTGCTTTAAAATACTACCTATAGGCTATATAATACATGAATTACGTTTTAACGCACTCACCAGATCAGCAGAAGCTGGCATTGCTGTTTGTGTGTCCATGACTTCGCGTAGTTTGGACAGCTTGTACAGTATGCATGTGATCATCAGCATTAATGTACTAAATACTGTGATAATAATGATTATCTTAACTGTATCTGTGAGGTTTAGCATTGACCATGGTGACGTCGACTATATTTCACGCTATATTCCATTCACTATGGCTGGCTTTTCATTCTATTTTCCATTCAAATCCATACACTTTAATCCCTCTTTGCTATATAATTTTCATTTTGACAAATTTTATGTACTGGTATATGTATAGCGCGAATCCGGCAGGGTTTATGCCATTGGCATCCATAGATACTTTTGAAATTTTGTATTTATTTTAAGTGTCATGAATCCAACAGGTTTCTATGTCTTCATGGCAATCTTTTCTTTGTTTCTGGACAAAACAACCTGTAGTTGTTTCTGTTGTTGCTACTTGTTCCCGGCGTCTATACAAGAAACATTTTCTTATCTGTTTTGGACAGGAGACTTTCCTGAAAAAAACTTGTTAAACTGTTGTCTTGCACAAGAACAAAGATTTCCAAATCATATCTTGATTGACTTAATTATGATTTAAAGGCACAGTTCCGCCTTTTGAATGATGGTTTTTAAAGCGCATTTCAGCCCTTTTAATCAGTGAAAAAACTAACTAGGAAAATCAATTACCTGTAAGCATATTTCAAGATCAGCAAACTTTAACAATAAAAATGTTTTAACATTTTAAAACATTTTTATTGTTAAAAACATGAGTTTACTGATCTTGAATAATGCATAATTGATTTTCCTAGTTAGTTTTTCCCAATTAAAAAGGCTGAAATGCGCTAGTTAAGAACCATCATTCGAAAGGCTGAACTGTGCTTTTAACCGGGGGATATTATCAAATATTTTCAAGTGCCCAATGGACTTTTCATTATTTTTTATGCAATCATTTACGATTTTAACAAACCAGTCGAAGTTCGCAGTAATTGAAGAATGCGATATTTATTTCTATACCATATTTTATATAACATATATTATAATATAATTTAGAACAGTGACCAGCACTGTATATATTTAATTGTAAATTATCTTGATTAATTAACTTCAGAATAGACGTCATCATTTATGATTTGTTTAAGCGCGGGTCAGAAAGTTCTCCGGTCAAAAAATATCAGCAGACATCGATTTTCAAATAACACGTGATAGGCCAACCTCGTATATGCCAGTTAATTTCCGACGCATGATTGCTCCAGTTTAATTTCAGAGAGCAGAAGCGTAGCTCAGTTCATAATAATAGTAATAATCCATATTTATACTCTTTATAGTCCAGTTTCAATTAAGAGATCCGAAAAATATAGAGATCGGAAGAGCGTCTCGGAGATCAGATGCTCAGTTCATAATAATAGTAATAATCCATATTTATACTCTTTATAGTCCAGTTTTAATTAAGAGATCCGAAAAATATAGTCCAGTTTCAGAGATCAGATCTTCAGTTCATAATAATAGGATGCCACATGGCAACAGGTTTGCGTAATTCCATCAACATTTTATTCCAGTGTAGTAGACCGTCTTTGTATTCCTGAGGTCCTATCGTGATGTCGCCCAGCGCTTCGTCCCGTCCATAGGATGTTCGGTTTACTACGAGTATTTTGAAAGAGCTGTAGGCCATCGCTTCTTTGGGGACTTTGAAAACAAATGCTTCGTTGTATATTGGGTTTTCCGTCTTACGAACAACGACTGTCTTTTTCTTACTCACTCGTTTATGATTATATAAGAAAACCACCTTCACGAACACTCCTTGAAAATAAATTAACATAATTAGTATCTAAATATATATAAATTAATAATTAACAGCTTTGTTTCGCATTAAAGAAATTAAACTAACCTAATATCATTTATACTGGATAGCTCTATCAGTTTTCTTTATCAGTCATCTCTTATTGATCCAAGTGTTATTGTAGGAGGAAACCTAAACTAAACTAACTTTATTTGAATTTTTTCTGTGCTAGTGTTGTGTACTCAGGTGAATAATATGTTTGTGATGTTACTCTGAGTGCATATCCACACCGGGCGAGCTTGAAAAATATGCCCGGCCACAGTGGGATTCGAACCCACGACCTTTGGAATACTAGCCCAATGCTCTTCCAACTGAGCTACGCGGTCAGGACGGTTCGAGTAACTTTATTTATTCTGGATAGCTTTATCAGTTCTAAACTAGCTGTTCTTCCTAGAGGTCCAGAAGGATCATCTCTTATTGGTCTAGTGTTACTGCAGGAGGAAACTTAAACTAAACTAACTTTATTTATACTGGATAGCTCTATCAGTTCTAAACAGTTCTCCCTAGAGGTCCAGTAAGGATCATCTCTTATTGATCCAGTGTTACTACAGGAGGAAACCTAAACTAAACTAACTTTATTTATACTAAACAGCTCTATCATTTTTAAACTGTTCTCCCTGGAGGTCCAGTAAGGATCATCTCTTATTGATTCAGTGTTACTACAGGAGGAAACCTAAACTAAACTAACTTTATTTATACTAAACAGCTCTATCATTTCTAAACTGTTCTCCCTGGAGGTCCAGTGTTACTATAGGAGAAAACTCAACCTAAACTACGTCTATCCATCCGGTGATATATCGAGTTCACTGACTCACCCCAGGCTCCTGTCTTGTGTTCAATTTTTAGGTCACGCGCCCTCATGATGACGACAGTCAGCCGACCAGCGGTTGGGAAATAATTCAAGGACAACAACAGATCCCCCGAGGTTGGTCTTTTCTAAAATTTATTTAAAAATATAGGATAGTTAATAAAGTAAAATATCCCTGCAAATATCTGGGCAGCCGCCTACATTCTGACCACAGCCGTTTACTTAAAAAGATGATGAAAGCCTTGTCAGGTATCTGTTATAATTCATCATTTAGTTATAATAATTAACTAGTGTCCAACCTCCTCCTCTTCTTCGTACAAATCAAACCATCCCGTCATCCTTTGCGTGATATCAACGTCTTTCATGTCGATGCAAACTTGACCGAGTGCGTGACTTTTGGAAAATGCGTCAATTTCGTAGAGACAAACCTGGTGGAAAACAAAATGGCAGAGAAGACTTCCATAAGTGATTAGTTGAGGCATTTCCACTCAGGAAAATTTTACGCAGAGAGAAAATTTTGTAAAATGTTGAACAGTTTCGACTTTTAACAATGATATTTTCGGAAAATTTTCTGTTCGTGGAAATTTTTCTTGAGTGAAAATGGGCCTTTAAATCAGTAGTAATTTCCCAAGGGAAAATATATTCTTGTTATAAACTTAAAGGCCAGACCAACATAGTTGAAGTCATTGAACTAAAGAAGACTTAAACATAGAAACGCAATGTTGACATTTGTTGCCACCGTATAGATTGTGCCTGCAACATATAGTTGCCTGACTATAATTTCACCTCAGCCATGTTTAGCCTGGTTCACATATGCCTGTGGTATGCTTGCGCTATCATTGTTTACAGCTGTTGATGCATACATTATTTTGTGAATTATTTGGTTGAACTGCTAACAACAATAGTCCGCCGACATATGTGAACCAGGTTTTTGGGAAGATTTCTTCTGCAGGCTTTCTCCAATTATGACACGGGATGGCCTGCTCGCAGGCGCTTGCAAGTGTCATATATATTATATAATATACAAGCAAGCGTCTGGGAGCTGGCTAAATACAGGACGAATGGACTATGGTCCGCACTGGACCTTTAGAGAGAACGGTTTATGACTGACATAGCTATCCAGTAGCAAACCAGATAAGTAGCAAACCAGAGGTTTCGGGTTCGATTCCCACCGCGCTCAAGCAAAATTTTTGGCTAGCCTTGCGTAGACACATTCAGAGTAACATCATCTCAATAATAAGAGCTTGTGGAGGAAATAAGCGATGGCCTTGCTGCACCTCTAGGGGGAGTGGTGTAGAAGTGATAAAGTTATTCAATATAATTACAAAGTTATCTTGTGAAACGAAACCCACCTGTATCGTTGCGTATCCTATTTCCCTCTCGTTAACACAGAACGAGAATTCCTCATGAAACTGAGGTTCGGGGATCATTCGTTGAATCTTCGTACAACGATCGCTCGTGAGCTTTGTGCCCTCGGTATCCTTCGTGAGCAGGACTTTGGCATAAAGATTAGCACTATTTCTTTGCGTCTGACAAACTACACCTAGAGGAGTGAGATTGAATCATTGAATCCTAAGATTGAATAATTAAATCCTAAGATTGAATCATTGAATCGTAAGATCGAATCATTGAGTCCTAAGATTGAATCACTGAATCCTAAGACTGGATCATTGAATCCTATACTGAATTATTGAGTCCTAAGACTTAATCATTGAATCCTAAGACTGAATCATTGAATCCTATACTGAATCATTGAGTCCTAAGACTGAATCATTGAATCCTAAGATGGAATCATTGAATCTTAAGATGTTGAGTCATCGAGTCGTAAGATTGAATCATTGAATCCTAAGATTGAATCATTGAATCCTAAGATTGAATCATTGAATCCCAAGACTGAATCATTGAATCCTAAAATTGAATCATTGAATCCTAAAATTGAATCATTGAATCCTAAGATTGAATCATTGAATCCTAGGATTCAATAATTAAATCCTAAGATTGAATCATTGAATCGTAAGATCGAATCATTGAGTCCTATGATTGAATCACTGAATCCTAAGATTGGATTATTGAATCCTATACTGAATCATTGAGTCCTAAGACTGAATCATTGAATCCTAAGATGGAATCGTTGAATCTTAAGATATTGAGTCATCGAGTCGTAAGGTTGAATCATTGAATCCTAAGATTGAATAATTGAATTCTAAAATTGAATCATTGAATCCTAAAATTGAATCATTGAATCCTAAAATTGAATCATTGAATCCTAAAATTGAATCATTGAATCCTAAGATTGAATCATTGAATCCTAAGACTGAATCACTGAATTGTAAGACTGCATGATTGAATCCTATACTGAATCATTGAGTCCTAAGATTGAATCATTGAATCCTAAAATTGGATCATTGAATCCTAAGATTGAATCATTGAATCCTAAGATTGAATCATTGAGTCCTAAAAATGAATCGTTGAATCCTGAGACTGAATCATTGAATCCTAAAACTGAATCATTGAATCCTCTAAGACTGAATAATTGAATCCTAATAATTGAATCCTAAGACTGAATCGTTGAATCCTAAGACTGAATAATTGAATCCTAAGACTAGATCATTGAATCGTAAGAATGAATCATTGAATCGTAAGATTGAATAATTAAATCCTAAGACTGAATCATTAAATTCTAAGATGGAATCATTGAATCCTACGATTGAATCATTGAATCTTGAGATTGAATCATTGAATCCTAAGACTCAATCACTGAATCCTAAAATTTAACTGTTGAATATTAATTTTAAGGATGAATTATATATATTGAAACGTAAGATTTATCCGCTATACTGACCTTTAGCTTGAAGTAACAAGACATTCAATTTCCGAACTTCAATTTCATATAAAATTGACAACTGCACTTTTCCTAAGGGGACATTTGGTTCAAGCGTGTATTCAAAGTCTAGAGTCCCATCTCGAAGTTCCCGCGCCAACTCCACATCCCCTCCTATCCCTGGTTGAACACATTGACCACTGCCGTAGAGTTGTTTGTCAGAGAATTTGCCAGGAATAGGTTGGGTGACCTGGTAGGTTTGGTAGTCTTTACCGCTGTTCTGCTGTGCTCGACGGCGCCGTGCGTGGTACATATGACACCATTTGCATAGCACCACCACAAATGCGAACGAAATGAGACCAGAAATGCCAAAAATGACCCCTTGGAAGATTTTGTTTTGCATTGAGGGAGCCACTGCAATGAGATGGATGAAAGTAGACAGGTTGCATGTTAGACTAATTTTTTATCTAGGCAAGAAAGTAAATTGCCGTAAAGAACTTATTAAAATGATTAAAATTGCAAAATTTGGTTACGAAATGTTGTAAAATACGGAAAATCTAGCCTTGCAAAGTTTGCATATTTTGTCAGTATAGTGTTTGGATTACGTGCGGCAATTGTTACCATTTTTGAGCCGAAAATGGTAATAATTTGCGCACGTAATACGAACACATATAAAATTTGCAAACTTTGCAAGACTATATTTTCCAAGCTTTACAACATTTCGCAACCAAATTTTGCAATTTTACTAATTTCATTATGCTCTTTTTAGCTGTGGTGTTTGATTCCCTTCTCTTTACTTAGATTAAAATTTAGTCTAACATGCAAGTTGTCTCGATTCAGTACGGTATTTTTCAGTTTAGTGAGTTCAACTATCATAATACTAGCACTAATAATCGACTAGCACTAGTCATATGGTGCAGTCATCACCTTCGCCAGTATTGCCCAAGGACTAGTTGATTAAATTTTGGTTCAATTTGCGTAATATTAGCCATTGTATAATTTATGCTGCCTTTGATCTCTTGGGTGTGAGGCAGCACTTTCCTTGCGATAGTATAACTCCTAGTTTATGCGTGATATACATAACTTAATTCTCTGGCTGGCGGGGGGTGTACAAGATATCCTAGTGTTCTTTAGTTGAATGACTTCAATTAATCATAGAGCTTCGATATAAAGATAGCGTTCCAGTTCATGCCCCTACGCCTTACGATCAGTGTCTTCAAGTAACTCTATGCGACCACACGCATCTAATTTAAAAAAATATCAAGATATCTTTTTCACAAATGATTTCAAGATTTCCATAACAACCTAAATTAATATCTTCCCTAGCACTTATTCCAGCGGGCAAAACAACTCAAAAACACCGTCAAAATACAATTTAGCGAGTTAAAACCCACGCTTTTCCGCTCGAAACGACGCCTCGAAAAAAACGAAATTTTGTCTTATAAGGACCGACACGTATCGCCTACACACAAATACTACTAACAAAAATCCACGCAAATTTGCATATTAAACTACAGTATTTAAGACTTACTTTAATTTTTTACGCGTATTATTCTGATAAAATAACCCTTTTACTTGCTCGCGTGTATTCCCAAATTTCGCGTGCATTGAGGCGAAATTGTGAACTGGTTCCCCACGAGAAATTCCATGAGTATTCCCACTTTTCAGCTATAAAACAGCCATATATAGCGATACCACTATGATGTGTATGAAGTTCGCTGATATTAGCCTGATCTTTCGCGCTTTATTCTTCCTTGTTTACCTTTTCCAAGTTGCCCAGTGTAATTCCTGTTATGTCCTTTAAATATGTAGAATTTTTCAAAAATCGTCCCTCGAATTTGTCGGGCTGTCGATTTCGAATTTAAAATTCACTTTATCAAATTACTGTAGCACTGTTGCTCCCTTCGCAATCCAACAAACAAGAAAATTATATATTCATAGCTCTATTTCTTGTTAATATTTTATTAAACTCGTCTTCAATGCACGGATCCACAGTTTCGCGTGTGATCTTTTTCTGCCACGATTCGGTTTAGTGCTTGACCGTTTAGGGCCAGTCAGCTGTCGCTACGCTACGAAAATAGAGGCGAAATTTTCTCACAATTTTTTTATATTTGCATTACAATAAAGGAGACAAACTTTTGATTACTTTTTAGCAGCGAAGGCAGTATGCCGATGCAAATTTTGACACGCAAGAATATTTTAATGTTAAATTTAACTGCGACAGCTGCATTCGAAATACGAATTTATAATTATGTGGGGTTTTTTTACGGCTGGCAGGCGTGCGTCGATAAGATGCGATAACGAGTATGATACGCTTGTAACTATATTTGACGCAAAATTTCATGGAAGATAGCCAAGGACGTATGCGGTTTGAAGAAAGCTTGAAAAAGCGGTACAAACTGATATTTTTGTCGTGATATAACTTTGAGCGTGCTCATGACATCGTGAAAGCTGAAACTTTACATGGACCACTGTGTGAATCCAGCCTTTCGGCGTGCTATATAGCATAGATCTTTTACGGTTTGGGTGAAAAATTGAAGCTGGAAGACTTGATTACGTGTTTATACAGAGTTGACAAATGTTATATCTAGTCTAATGTGAAAAAACAACAAAAGTTATTTTTCAATTAATTTGTATATATATATATATATGTGTTTCGACATGAGAAGAAGATAAGATAAAGTTAAAAGATAATGTTATGATTATATGAATATCGTACGCAAGGACCATCTTACAAGATAATTCGCAATTATACACAACTGTAATTTGCAACGATTTTTTTAGAAGATCATGATCAAATAGTTTTCTATACTTGCCTGGTGTGGACATCTCTTGGAGAACATCATCCAATATATATAATCTAACTGAGTACAAATTCCACCATGATCAAGTGGTTTTCTACTTGCCTGGTGTGGACATCACTTGGAGAACATCATCCAATATATATAATCTAACTGAGTACAAATTCCACCATGATCAAGTGGTTTTCTACTTGCCTGGTGTGGACATCACTTGAAGAACATCATCCAATATATATATAGTCTAACTGAGTACAAATTCCACCATGATCAAGTGGTTTTCTACTTGTCTGGTGTGGACATCACTTGGAGAACATCATCTGGGATTTGTGCTCAGATAGATTATATATGGATGAAGTGTTGTCCACACCAGACAAGTAGAAAACTACTTGATCATGGTGGAATTTGTACTCAGGTAGAGTATAATAGAGTATATATATTGGATGATGTTCTCCAAGTGATGTCCACACCAGACAAGTAGAAAACTACTTGATCATGGTGGGTCTGGTGGGATTTGTGCTCAGATAGATTATATATATATATATATATTGAGTGATGTTCTCCATGTCCACACCAGCGGACAAGTAGAAAACTACTTGATCATGGTGGGATTTGTACTCAGGTAGATTATATATATTGGATGATGTTCTCCAAGTGATGTCCACACACATGAAAGGACATGTGTTGTTTAATTATCATTCATATTGTTGCAAAAGCGAACTGTATAAATAATTAATTATAGCAACTAAATATGGAACACTCTCTAGTGTACCCGTGTTGATACAGCCTTTCAAACTTTGCATTTCTCCACAATAAGCTTGACATGCTGAAGTGACATGGTTTTAATATGATAACTCAGCTGCAGTATTTTCACACGGCACTCCAGGATCCATTGACACGTATGGGAAACCAACGAGAAAGAAAGCACTCCCACGAAAATGTCAATAATCGGTAGCCCTGTCAAGTCTCGTGTATTCTCTATTGTAGAGAGGTCGAATAAGGAACAGTACTCCTTATTGATCTAGTACAATTTACAGTGCGATTTGAATTAAACTAACTTTATTTACACTGAATAGCTCTATCAGTTCTAAATTGTTCCATGAACTATTTTGCCGTGGTTTGCTTCACTATAAACCAACCCTATTGTCTAATTTCTTCCAGAGCATTCGGGGTTGTGTACCCCCGCATTTCATACCACACGGAGATTTGCTCCCCGGGTGAATCTATCATGTTCTGAAAGTGCGTGGACTCGTACCCAGTCTGTGTGCGCGACATTCGCACTTGTCCTATAATAAAACTACTTTTAAGAAACAAATAGTGATTTAACGAGATTTGTATCTCGCTTTCTTCCGGTGGAAATGATTTGTATTCTAGGGTAAGAGGCTCGTTGACAGTTGCTTGATAAAAACTGTCGTCACTTCCCGTCATTCGCTCCATTTCTATAATCCTCGTTTTCATTTTTGTAATTCTGCCGCCTTTGTGGCGAAGGTCGACTTTGATATAGACGTTTCTGCCTGAAATTGAGGAAAAGATAGCTTTTCGTTATTGATGTCGTATTGTTGGACTCGTACTGTTTTCCTTGACAAGTTTACTTTCTCGTGTTTGCGGTCAATAGGTTTTTCCTTCACAAATTTTGTTTTTCGTGTGCTCGGAATGTTGTTAAACATTTATCTCACGTCAGCCGTCTTTATTGCCCATACCATCGAAATATTTATTTAGCTTTTGCCAACTAGGGCAGGGTCACCACAACAGCATATGCCAATTACTGTGGGCCCTATTACCTAACCCATGTACACTTGTTAAGTTTCCCTTTCGGGCCGTACACACGAAGCAAATAAAACTTGTCAAGAAAAACGTGCCTTTCTGTACGGGTCTTTGCTTAGGATTTCAATCGCTTTTCGTGTGTGGTTGACTTACCATAGTTTACATGACGTTTCCTAGGTACATATCTCACACGGACCGGATTGACGATGATACTTGACTTCGAAGGCTCATACGTGAGGGACACCAGGATACAACCGGTGATACCACTGCGATAGACTGGGTACATGCTGGTGAAAAGCGTTCGCTGTCAAAAAGAAACGTAAGTTTTGAAAAGGAGTTGGTATAACACTTATACTGAAATTGTAATTGTAATTGTAATAGATGATCCCCCTTATTACGTTTTCGTAGCGCTTTGCATTGTGGTTATAGTGGTATCACTGATAAAGATAGCGGCTTTGAATGAAAATATTGAATGTTTGCGCGAATATTTTGCTGTTGGATATCGTGCACCTGACCCTAGCTTTCTTTAAAAGTTGTTGCACGGGTCAGGACAAAAAATAAGCCATCTTGAATATATCAGTGATACCACTATAACCACAATGCAAAGCGCTACGAAAACGTAATAAGGGGAATCGTCTATTAAAAACTTCTATAACGCATTTTCCATGACTAAATGAAATTCACTTATTTATTTATTTATTTAACTTGGCCAACTGGGGCAGGGTCACCACAACAGCATATGCAAATTACTGTGTACCCATTTACCTAACCCACCCTGTCGCCTTTCCCTGTGGGAGGAAACCGGAGTACCCGGGGAAAACTCACGACATTCGGCAGAGCGTCATTGACTTTTACTCTTTTCACATGAGGACTGGGTTCGAGTCGCATTGAGAAAGTTCTCACTGAGATTTGAACCCGCGACCTCAGAGCATTGACCATTTCGCCACCGAAGTCCCCTAAATAAGTCCACTTGATAGCCTCCTTACCTTGCCTCGTATAACAGCGATGCATAACTTCACGTACCCCTAAGTAGTATATATCTCTGTTATATTTAAAGCACCTGGATACGAGGCAGCCTCTTACCTTAATTTCAACAAAAGGGATCCGCACTCTTCGTCTCGAATCCAAATCAATTTGAAACAACGGCAAACACGCTTCTCCCCGTAAATAACTTGCCGAGAATTTGTCCACGTGAAAAAGGCCATATATTAACACGTGACATGTTATATCGTCTCTCGGATCAATGTTGAAATTGAACTCGTCATTGTATACGGGGTCAATTGTTTTCGTATGTATACTTGTCCGACGGCTTTTTTGATCGGGGATCAGTTTCACGCTGACATAGGTGTTGGTTTCCTCCATATGTTTGTGGAGGAGTTGATGTATCGAGTTTACAGTGACCTAGAGAAATGATAGTGATGCATCTCTCAGGATGGTTTCTGATTAATCTTAGCGAGTTATAACGATGCAATAAGTTATAAGCATGAAAAAAGCAATGCGAATGACAACAACAGAACCTTGAGCAACTTTAGCCACCAGGGACAAGAACAATTGTTTATTCTGGGCAGGGATGAATAACAACAACAACGACACAACAACAGCGACAACGAACGATGACGACGACGACAACAACAACTTAACAGTAACAGTAACAGTAACAGTAACAGTAACAGCAGCAAGAACACCATCACCAACAACAACAACAACAACAACAACAACAACAACAACAACAACAACAACAACAACAACAACAACAACAACAACAACAACAACAACAACAACAACAACAACAACAACAACAACAACAACAACAACAACAACAAACAACAACAACAACAACAACAACAACAACAACAACAACAACAACAACAACAACAGCAACAGTAACAGTAACAGCAACAGCAACAGCAACAACAACAATCAAGATGATATTTGCTGTGTTGGTGTAATGTATACTCAGGTGAATAAGGTGCTTGTGATGTTACTCTGAGTGTATATCCACACCGGGAAGGCTTGAAAAATATGCCTGGGCACGGTGGGAATCGAGCCTACGACCTTTGGAATACTAGCCCAAAGATCTGCCAACTGAGCTACGCGGTCAGGTCGGTTCGAGTATGTAATATTTCGGAACTGAGTCTAGTTCCTTCGATATCAGTGTAATCTAATAATCATGATATTTGCTCGAACCGATCTGACCACGTAGCTCAGTTGGCAGAGCATTGGGCTAGTATTCCAAAGGTCGTAGGTTCGATTCCCACCGTGGCCAGGCATATTTTTCAAGCTTGCCCGGTGTGGATATACACTCAGAGTAACGTAACAAGCAACAACAATGAACAACAACGACGACGGTAACAACAACAACAACAACAACAACAACAACAACAACAACAACAACAACAACAATGAACAACCACAGCAACAACAACCACAACGATAACTACGACGACGACAATAACAGTAACAACAGCAACAACACCATCACCACCACCAATAACAATGAACAATCACAACAACAGCAAGGAATCACCACGGCACCACCAATAACAAAACTTTCAAACTGACCTTCAATTCTGAAGAGTTAACATCGTAATAAACCTCAGTATCTAAAGCACCACATGTGTTCTTGTTAGAAGTTTGAAATTTTTGCAGTGAAGCTTCTTTCTTATACAACTGAGGCTTGAGGTCTGTCGTCTTCATTTCTTCATGTGATGACCAGTCTCTTGTTAGGATTCTTTGAGCTAGAGGGGATGTCTCCCCCCTGGCAAGACCGCGTGATGTATAAGAAGCTGGTGCCGAGATTTGTCGAGTTACCTAGAAATATTTAGACTAGTTCTAGTGCAACGTTTGAACTACGCCTAGGCAGTTATTTGAGAGGACAACTTATTCTATAGTACATTGTACTTTGTTTATACTGGATAGCTCTATCAGTTCTAAACTGTTCTTCCTAGAGGTGCAGTAAGGATCGTCTCTTATTGGTCCAGTGTTACTACAGGAGGAAACTTAAACTAAACTGACTTTATTTATACTAGATAGCTCTATCAGTTCTAAACTGTTCTTCCTAAAGGTCCAGTAAGGATAATCTCTTATTGGTGTAATATTGCTGTAGTGACACAGCACCAGCAAAGGATGGACTTTACTGAACCTCTGAATGAACTTAGAACTGATAGAGCTATCCAGTATTTTCCCCTCGTATATATGCATCACATCGGGTAAATGCTTCATACCTTTGGACTGAATCCAGCCCCAGGGTCTGTGGGCGCTCTCGGCCTTAGGAATATCTCTTTCTTTAGCGCACCAACTTCGGGCTGCACCGGCATCTCTTCAGTATCGATCGGAATATCTTCCTGGTGCACAACCGAGTATTCTTGGGTACAAATCCTGGGTGCCGAGTTACTCCGTAGTTGAGAAATTCTTCGCACTTCCCTAAAAGCGATGACGTCATGGTCTTTGTTTCTATTTTTTAGTCTTTCGCAACATCTTTTGAGGAAGCGACACACGGCACCCAAGAAGACAACCGTTGACACAATTAAGGTAAATGAAACTAAGTTTGTAATGACCTGTTCTGAGCCCGCGGTTTGGGAGTTAGTATATTCTACTCGCATATCCAATCTGAGTGTGTTGACTTTCTTAGTTCGTGTTCATTTTGACCTGGAAAGTAGTAAGAGCGTGTTCCAATTAACATTTTGGTGTTTTCGCTTAGGGCTAATACCATTGGGGCATTGAGAAATAATGGACATCTCTCAGTGTATATACAATCAAATATATATAATCTACCTGAGTACAAATCCCACCATGATCAGTAGTTTTTTACTTGCCTGGTGTGGACATCACTTGGAGAACATCATCCAATATATATAATTTACCTGAGTACAAATCCCACCATGATCAAGTAGTTTTCTACTTGCCTGGTGTGGATATATGGAGAACGAATGATAAGTATTCCTCAGGCTTGGGGATTAATTAAGACTTGGCTTAAGCGTAGTAAACAGATTTTTTTCTGCAGGCAACAATACAAACTGACATCTCATAATCACAGCTAGAGTTTACAGAATGAGAATCTCATTCTGTAAACTCTATGAATCTGTTTGGTGCATAATTTGAGTAGATCCTTCTACAAAGCATCATGTTTTTCAAAACATGAATTAGACTTGTATATAATCACAACACCAGGGTACAAACCTGTCAACTATCGCCCAATGCATAAAACATATTCATTCAACTAGTGTAGTGTTATCTTTGATGCGTCCTTTGCTAAAGCTCAATCGCCTCACATTTTATAACATTTACAACACAACAATATATTAATGCCATATACAACAATAGACTATTTGCTTCTTGCTCCAATGACGCTGAAATAATTTCTCTTTCTTGTTTACCCAAACAATTTCTTCAACTTTCAAGCGAGCAGAACAGCTGATTTCGCAAGATTTGTCCGTCAAGTGATGCTATCTTTAAGCTTTGCTATTTATTAATAACCATCTCTTCGTCTGTGATTTAATCTGGCCATTTATCAAAGTCTAGTTTTAGTTAGTTTCCCCCTTTTTGTTAAAGGGAGTTAATGCCAGTTAATCTACACACGTCGTGCTTTTAATGTAAGTTTCTATCTTCAGTCAATAGTGTGTTTACTTGGTTTGTTTGCTTACGCTTTATTATTTCATCGCCAAATTTCAATTAGTATTTGGTTGAATAAATATCTTTTGCTCGGACGAGCAATCTCATTTGCGGCCTATAGCCATTGAGCGCAAGAAAAAATACGTCTGCGCGTCGTTTATGCAAAGTGAAATATCTAATAGACCTTTCCCCTTATAACCAAAATTTTGATCTAGGCAAGTCTAGACAAATATTTCATCACAGCTCGAAAGGGCATCACAAAATTAGTAATATTCCAAAGTTTCGTTGCGAAATGTTGTAAAATGAGGAAAATAGAGCCTTGCGAAGTTTGCAATTTTCAGTCATTTTGCATTACAAACGGGAAATTGTAGCCCCAACACCCGAATCGTATGTCATTTTCCCGTTTGTAATACAAAATGACTGAAAAACGGCAAACTTCGCAAGGCTATATTATCCGCATTTTACAAGATTTTGCAACAAAACTTTGGAATATTACTAATTTTGTGATGCTTTTTCAAGCTGTGATGAAATTTTTGTCTAGATCGAAATTTTAGTTATAAGGGGAAAGGTCCATTGACAGTGTTCTGATTTGTGCTTCTGTATACCGGCGTTCGATTTCTGCAATATACATGCAGTTAATTATAATTTCACTTCTATTACACGAGAATAGTGCTTGTTCGTAAAAACCTAGTTTTTCTTAGTTCTTCTTCGCGGGAACGACATGAGATGACTCTTATACTGGACCTCTTGCAAGAACAGTTTAAAACTGATAGAGCTATATCCAGTGTAAATAAAGTTAGTTTAGTTAAGATTGGAACTGAGCGAATACAACTATACAAGCATGAAATATTTTGGTATTTTTGTCTAAGAGTATATTAGTGCATGCACTATCTCTCATTCTATTGTTTAGATGATTTACGAATCTATATCAATGTTTGCCTAGTCTGCATGTTAATGATGGGTTTGACCAAATAGTGATAGCATTGATACTACACAGATCTTCTGGTAAACAACAACTATACGTCATGTCGTTGGCAATTTATTTGATTTATAAGGGGTATATAAGCTGATCGATTAAACCGTGGAAGCTTGGCACTAGTACTGGTTTCCTTGGACCGTGACAGACATATACGTTCATTCGACTGAACTGAACTGACTCTATTTGTAAATTACTAATTTATGACGAAAATTCAAAAGATATCATTGTTTGGTGAGGTGTTGTAGATCCACATATACAAACATTCAATTCTGGTTTGCATAAACTTTTTCCTCGATTTACCTCCTATACTAGATAGCTGATGAGGTGTTGTAGATCCACATATACAAACATTCAGTTCTGGTTTGCATAAACTTTTTCCTCGATTTACCTCATATTGGATAGCTTTATAAGTTCTAATCTGTTCTCCCTCAGTTAAGCTGAAGAGCCGAGGTCCAGTAAAGGACAACCTTTGGATGGCCTTGTGTTATAGATCAAATGATGAGTTTGCAGTTAGGCATTGTTACAGGGGACATTTCAAGCTTTCGACTAAGAAAAACGTTTGATGAATGTTTCATATACGTTTTAAGTGGAATACAACATGTGTCATGTGATAGTGTTGGGATAGCATTCTGTATGTATTCTCATCCTCAGCGACATCCTAAACTGAATAGTTGGAAGTCTAAGAACAGTCTTACAGTATTGACATGCAGCTATATGACTCTTACCTTGTCCTTGATACATGCATACTTTTTAGACTTTCCATTTGCGGTTTCATTTGTTGCGACAATCACAAAACATACTGCATGTCTCATAATTCAGACAACACAATACCGATACAAGACGCAAATTCCTTTTCAATACACAACATAGAACTTTCTTTCAAGCCTCTTAACAACACGTAACCACGACTTTCCGTTTTCAACCGAAATCGCGCGTGCGAAGACCACTGCAGAGCACGGATCATTAAACAAATGAGAGCACTTGAATAAACCGTCACTGCTTATTGACAACCGTCGCGGAATCCGTTACGTCTTGTGATATTGCAATGTTTCTGTTGCCAAATTTGATGGAACAATAATAAGTTTACCGTTTTTTGTGGCTTGTTTTCGCCGTTAGTAGTTCAATTAGTGTCATCGTTGGTGGTTTGCATTCGTTGAACTGCACAAGTGTTGTAAATGGCCCGAATCGTTCTGGTGAATCAGTCAACTGTCATTGTGTAAATATCAACCAGAACATTCCGGACGACTAAACTGGCAAAGGTTCTGGGAACGAATCATGTCTTATATTTTCATTTTTCGTCTAATGCCGTATTTCACACATGCAGACAGACGTCTATGTACATATAATATATATATCCCGGTTCCTTTTTCTCCATATTTTCTTTGTCCAAAGTTGTCCAGACGCCATCCTTCTCTAATCCGACCAATGCCACATTACACACAGACTATGTCGTAGTCTAACTTAAGACCTACGGGAAGATTTAGTAAATACGATGAAAACGAAATAAATAGGATGAAAATTATCATTGAAAACCGGTAAAGTACTCGATCAATTTGTGACGAGTGTGCTCTTTAGATATTGAAGTAGTTCCGTTTTAGGTATGCTTGGATGAGTTCTCGATATTTAGTTCAACGTCCTTTCATAGAATGCTTTATGCCCCCCTTTATGCTTGCGTGCCATGTTAGCGGTGAAGCTAATACAGTAATAGACGTTTTTAATGATTTAACTAAACTAAATCTAAACTTTGTTTTTTGTGGATAGTTCTGTCAGTTATAAATTGTTGAGTTGTGGTCTGGAAACATTCTTATCATATGAAATGAAATGACAACCACTGAGGGAAATATACATTGTAATGACATGTGACACATATCAAAATCTTCCTCTCCATGAGCTGAAACTAGCTACTGATGTATAAAATATCAGCACACAACCAAAACATCTCAAAATAATTGGACAAAACCTTGACAATTGATGATTCCCCTTATTACGTTTTCGTAGCGCTTTGCATTATGGTTATAGTGGTATCACTGATATTCAAGATGGCCATGGCTTATCTTTTGTCTTGACCCGTGCAAGAACTTTTAAAAAAAGCTAGGGTCAGGTGCGCGATAGCCAACAGCAAAATATTCGCGAAAACATCCAGTATTTTCATTCGAGACCGCTATCTTTATCAGTGATACCACTCAGTAGCCGCAATGCAAAGCGCTACGAAAACGTAAAGAGGAATCACCAATTGGGCCAGTTTTCAGAATTTGAAATCTCTATCCATTGTAGAACTACTCTTTTGTACTGAGAAACCAGTTTTAAAATTTGAAATTGTGTAATTGAGGCGAAATGACGTCCCGAAACTGAGAGAAACGCGGCGCATTGCGATCTAAACGTGCGTGTAACACTCTCCTCCGCAGAGTCTGATTTATATAGGATTTGTAGGGATACTAGAGGACATTTAGTGGTGCGCGACGGGGGGGTGAGATCGATGGTTTACAAAATGTAATGAATCTTAATCTTACGTGGCTTCCGTCTTCCCATCATACCTTGCGTAATTTGTCCTCCCCCCCCGTAATATTGCGCAATTTTACTAAAAATTCGTAAGGCTCTGCGGAGGAGAGTGTGCGTGTAACATGAAGTAGCTAAATTAATATCACCGCTGGTGATGTGTATCGCTGATTGAAAAATTTAAAAGCACGTGTGTTAATTATTCAAGATGGCAGCCTTCCGAAGTGGTTTAGTTAAGGTTAGTTGAGATTTTCTAACGATTTTCTGCCGTTTCTTTTTGTGTTTGTTCTCGATCTTTTAAATATGTTAAATTGACATATGTGTTTATTCTTGTAGCAAGTTTGGCGTGGTTTGGTACGCTGTGAGAATAGAAATCGACCTCCGGAGAAATGTAAGTTGAGATGTGTAAAATTTTAAATAAATTATAAAAATTTGTACTTTGTGAATTGGACTTAACTATATCATGTGATTCATTTGTTCATGATGTATATTTAAGTACTGTATAAGTTCACTTGTATTTTTAACGTAAATTGTACATTTGTGTTCGATAAACACCGCTCTGAGCCTCTAATATCATATAAATAATATCAGCATTGGGCAATGCACGAATAAAACATGGATTATTTATTTTGATTCTTTATTTCTGATTGTGCATGTATTTAGCTGTCAAAATGTAGTTGACTTTGTGAAATATTCTGGAATTTTGTTGTGTGTGGTATACTATATGGAATCTGTCTATATATATACTGATTGAATGTACATTTATGTTGTCGTGAATTAAGCAGTCCAGTTAATGTAAATAGTCCAGTTGACATTACATAATTAGACATGTAGATTGCATCAGTTACGAACACGATCAGATATTGAGATGTCGTACGAACACATGTAGTTTTCCTCAGCCTTTTTAGCTTTAAATATATAACCATAAAATGAAGACAGTTACTCTTACTTACTCGGTCGAACCTCGCTATTCTCTACATATGTTGACACTCGTTGTACCAGTGTAGGTAATGACAAGAACACCAGAAAGCTGTAGATTGAGAAGGATTCAACTAGATTCAACTAGATGCGAATGAAGGCCTTTTGACTGGGATGTCAGTGGATCGCTTGAAACGATCAAGGTTTTACTTGTATTTTTCACGTAGTTGAACGTCTCGCAATCGGAGGGGTCCGACACGGCCACATGAAGCGTACAAGATTTTGAAATCACATGATTTCTAACCTGATTCCTTGATTTCTAACCTGATTTCTGTTGATTTCTAAACTGATTTCTGTTGATTTATAATGCGATTTCTAACCAGATTTCCTGATTTCTAACCCGATTTCCTGATTTCTGTGGGTTACCGCTGTCATATAGACTGTGGGCCCAATAATAACAAAGTTTTGAGTGGTTTGTGATTTCAAAATTCACTGATTTCTCTGGTGATTTCTTGATTTTGGGTTTGATTCCTGTTGATTTCTGAGTCGAGTCACTCGAGTGTACGAGATTTCAGCCATGTCGGACCTCTCTTCTCAATCCACAGATTTTTGGTGTTATATTGACACAACATTACATTGGTCACCTTGATATGGGCACAGTGTAATTGACTGAGTCACATAATTATATGTTTTAATAGGTATTAATTCAGTGCAGTTGTTAGGGAGAGTTGGACAATATCCAAAGAAGGGAAAAGGGGATGTCTGGAGATTTTCAATTGCTACAAATGCAACATATCAATCAAAGGATGAGTTTGGAGGTAGTTGAAAACAAATAAAAATCGTAGCCCAACAAAACAGTCGTGTGATAGCCATGTTCTGCCCATGTGCTAGCTATATGCTCCACACGTAAAAATGCACTGTAGGTTGTTACAAGTCTGCAAACAAGTTGTTACAATTCTGTTCACAAGCTGTCGACAAGTTGTGTTCGCACTGCTTGTTCCCAGTTGTTGTAACAAGTTTGGAACAAGCTGTTAACAATTTGGAACAAGTTTGATGGCATTATCAGACTTGTCACAAGGTTGTTCTAACAAGTCATGATATAACAAGAATGTTACAAGGTTGACGACGCAAGATTGTAACAATATTGTAAAATCATGACTGTATCGGACTTGTTGGAACAACCTTGCAACAAGTTTGATAATATCAACAACATTGTTACAAGTTGTTACAGTTGTTGTCCCAAACTTGTTGACAACTTTGGACAAGCAGTGCGAACACATCTTGTTGACAGGTTGTTGGCAGACTTGCTACAAGATGTGAGATTTTTATGCGAGATTAGCAAAAAAAGCTAAAGTTCACTTTATTTTTTATCAGAAAGCAAGCTTATGCACAAGACCCAATGGCATAATATTGCAGTATTCAGACCTTACTTGCAACAAAGAGTTCAAGAAATGGTTTCCAAAGGGTAAATGATACAATGACATTAATATTGATTTGATTACTCAATCTTTGGAGGTGCATGTAATCTGAACTACAGATGAATAATCTGATTTATCTGACCACAATGTTTAGGTCTCGTGTTCTTGTCCATGGTCGATTAGATTATGTTACATATGAAGATGATGAGGGTGTCAGAAAATCCTATTCATCTATTGTTATGGGTAGGATTATATTTAGATCTTGTTTTCATACTAAGAAATTAACTCGCTAAGTGGCAAAGTACACTCAGTGTCTAACGCCAGACTATTTTACTCGTCAATGGGTTAATGATGTTTGGACAATGTTGGATGGAATTTTAAACAAAGTCAAACTTGACCATGATGGTTGATTTGATCTGTTCATTTATAAGTTTCAACATTATTTTTTATTTATTTAGATGATCTTATTATCCTATCATATCCTGAAAACCGGAATATGGACGAGAACTTTGAAGAAGAACAATTCGAGGGAATGACATAGAAAAGTTTATGTCCTCAGAGTTGATATTTCTACAGCGGAGACTGCCTGCCTATTGAAAAGATGGCCTCATTTGCACTAGGAAGGGATCATTGATCAAGGTCAATCTGGAGAGATGCCTCACTCAGTAAACATGAAATGATCTCTCTAGGCTAGAACCAATGACAGTACTAGCTAGCACTGTGGCATTGGTTCTGGGAACAAATCATATCTGATATTTTCCTGATAGCCATACCATATTTTTTCGTTTAAGCGTCGCAGCGATCTTAAAATTGTCGGAGCTTCAGATGCAGCGCTCATTCGGGGGCGGCACTCGATCGAGTAAATATGGTATGCACTAGATGACCCCTCTCTAGTACAAATCACGCCAAGTATGTCATAACTAGAAGTATCCAGATGATTATTCCTTGTGAACTATGAAAAATATATTTTTACAAATGGTACCATAGTTTATTGTCTATTATGACTATAGCCTATATATTTCAGTTTCTCCCTGGGGCCAGGGTGCGATAATTCGCGTACTTACGTGCCGGAGGTACACCAATATTACTGTCTGGTACTTCTTTGTTTTCAGCCACGTACCACGTAGGTACGCGGAACTCTTGCTATCTGCGTACTTATTTTTTGCTGGTACCACATGACCTTTCCAAGTCCAAGGTATTCAATACCGTAATTTAGTTGCTATATCGTGTGTCTGAGATGTCTTGGCATGAAACATGATTGCACTGATGGCACTAAGAAACGTTGGAGTCGGTTGTTTGAAATAGCAAAACTCCGTTTTTAAATAGCAAAACTCCCTTTTCAAATAGCAAAACTCCCTTTTCAAATAGCAAAACTCCCTTTTCAAATGGCAAAACACCCTTTTCGAATAGCAAAACTCCCTTTTCAAATAGCAAAACTCCTTTTCAAATGGCAAAACTCCCTTTTCAAATGGCAAAACTCCCTTTTCAAATAGCAAAACTCCCTTTTCAAATGGCAAAACTCCCTTTTCAAATGGCAAAACTCCCTTTTCAAATAGCAAAACACCTTTTTCAAATAGCAAAACTCCCTTTTCAAATAGCAAAACTCCGTTTGCTATCTCGTGTCTGAACATACTTTTCAGAAACCTGTACTTTATGAACCTTATTTTTAAAGACTAAGTACACATTGAGCATTGAGTTTGTTCTAGCGCAAGTACGCGGCAACAACCATTGGCGTACCAGTCAGGTACGACTATAGAAATCTTGAATGATCGCACCCTGCTGCCTAATCTTGCTAATACAAATCTTGCCTTGTATTCACACCCACATGGCTCTAATGACTATAATCCTGTTGGACTTACCTATTGGCCTAATAATTATGCCTATAGGTAAGTCCTATAGTCCATGACTATAGTGGTACTTCAAGGTACTAATAGTGTATATTTGCAGACTAGAAATCGCAGCAAAAATTTCAAGGGTTGGTTGGCCTTTATAAACAGACAGGCAGGCTGTACATGCAAGAATATGACTTTTATATATAGATAGACATATTATGCAAGTCTATAGTGCGGTACTGTCAGAACCTCTAGTTGACAATTTTATAAAGTGGTTGTGATCTGCCACTATAGTCCGGATACTTTGGTCTTTCCCGAGCAACTTGGCGAGCAAATTCTTCCCTGGCAACATCAATCTTCCTTCCAACTTCCCTAACGTGTTCCTGGCGATGCCAGTGCTCGTCTCGTCTTTCTGCAGTCTCGTTTGAAACAACTCCAAACCCCTCTTGTCTCAGATAACGGAGCTGACCACTCTGTGATGGCAAAGTAGTCGGCCTTTTCTCGCTCTTCCAGTGGATTTGTGTGAATCTGTCGCAAAAACGATCTTGTTCTTTCTTATTCGGGTAGCTCTGAGGGTAGTTCAGAGCGTACAATGTTTGCACGTACGGGCTGGGTTCCTCATAGCGTTTGTAGTCTTTGATTTTGCAGTTATGCTCCATTTGATTCATGATGCCAGTGAGGAATCTCTTCAACTCTCTTCTTTAACTTTGTTTATATCTCTTTGTAATAGAAATTAGTTTTGATAAAATCTAATCAAACTCCTCAAGATATCAACTACCTTTCCAGAATCTAAATTTTGATGATATCGTTAACAATACGTTTCCAGAAAAATTTTCTCTTGGCGAAACCAGCAACCTCAAATACTATAGTAATTCGCAGTTTGTCGAAGCCTTTCGTAGTCAAAGGTTATATGGCTGAATATTGTAATAATTTTGTAAACACGCTTTCGTTGCTATGGTATTAGACATCGTTTACGCTCACACTCGCAAAGTCTTTCATTTGGTACCTGTTAATGTATACGCAATCGTTGGCTTGGTTACATACATGAAAAGCGTTTCATATTTCATAATGTATGTACGTATCTTTCACCGACGTCGTTTGCAGTAACTTGTCTTCATCGTGTAATAGAAATAATAAGAGTATACTGCATGTCACTTTCACTGAGGATGTTTTCTGTAGTAATACTTGTCCAATAAAATGGTTTTTATTGCACCTCTAGGAAGAACAATTTGATGGAGCTATTCATCCGCTATTGACCTCTAAATCACAAGGGTCTTAGCATATTCTGATATTCGTACAAATAGTCTAACGTTTTCTGCACTTCACACTCTTTATTGATATTCCATTTTCTCACAACAATTGTGCATGTATACATGAGCTATATCATTAATTACATCTTTATACAATTTGCTATAATGCTAACTTTTATATCATTTTCCTGTTATATAATATTATATTAAAATAAATATATTCATATACAATTATCCACTGACTATTTGCGAGACTTTGGGACGTGCAGACCTGAATAATTATCTTCGATGTAGTCCCTTAATCATTGAAGGCTAACTCGATTTATCTATACAAAAACGACCTGTACTTTGTCATCCCATATCCGTGAAGAAGGCTCCCAATCTCCCTCGAAATCTCCCTTATACATATTACATATATACTGTACTGTACAGTAGAACAGCCTTGGGCAGTCCAAGCATCAACAGAGGTACCAAAGTTAACATTTGGAGGATTTTAAAACCATCCACAGTAAGCTCTGCTTCGCTATCTTCTTATTTATGTCACTCAGAGCATCGTGAAGTTTCTCAATCAACTCGGGAGAATTGAAGTCTATGTAGCGGTGACTGGGTTTCGTTTTCTGGCCACTCTGTGTCTGCTTTGCCGTGCTTCCCTCGCTATACGCTGACATTTCTTTCCCTGGTCTTTGTTTTGTCTTTGGACTTCCAGAAAGACGCTGGATAAAAAATAATCATGAAATTTGCATAGTATAATAATTTTTTCAAAATCATGAAAGATGTGCTCGTACTGCTTTTGTTCGATTGTTCCAAGTTGTTGACAAGCCTGGAACAAGTTGTTATCATCTTGTAACAAGGTTGATTAGGCCAACAGACTCGCAACAAGTTGTCGGAACAAATTGATGACAACAAGCAACTTGTTACGAATAGCCTGTATTGTTCTTATTGGAACAACTTGTATAGCAAGGATGCTAGCGTCATCAACCTTGTTGAACCAAATGATAACAACTTGTTCCAGACTTACTGCGTAGAACAGTTAAGAACTTCTAGAGCCATCTAGTATAAATAAACTCATGTTTACTTCAAATGTACCTTCTTGTTGTCTTGCAGCATCATACGCGGTGATGTATTTTTTCTTTTTAATGTTTTTCTTTGTGGATCATTTCTGGAACACAGCAGTGCGCGATAACCTTAAAGTTAAGACGCGGACGTTTGTCAGAAACTTTCTCAGATATTCGTACAGAAACCAAGATTCGCCAGACTTCAGGTCAGTGGATTTCGATTCAGTGCAAAATGTCGCGCGATAGATATTTTGCGATCACTTTTTTTTGAAATACAAACAATCAACGCGAAGGATGAGGTTGTCTGAACGCATTTCAAAACTAGAAAGTGATCGCAAATTAGCAAAAAGTTCATGATCTCGCGACATTTTGCACTGAATGGAAATCGGCTTTTACTGTTTTAGTCCCAAAGGCAAGGCGGAAGATCTGTCTGGAGAAACCGGAGCAAAGAAATTCGGGGGAAATTATTTTAGTATTGACAGAAGCTACTCGAAGATTGCATTCTCCGCCAGCGAATTATCATGCACACATTTGACAATAGGCTAATTACGTATTCAATTTACTTCATCCAATTTCCATCTAAATTTAACCAAAATTTACTCAATATGTCCTTGACCAATGTCATTATGTCAAACTAGGAAACATTGTTGTGGAAACATGGGTGATTCTTGATGTTTCTTCAAATGTTTCCCTGTTTGCCCACCCGTGGAAACATTGTTGCGGAAACAAAATTTGCTTCCCGAGAAGCAAAAATGTTTCCTTGCGAATTCGGAAACATTTGATGTTTCCCTATGTTTCTCACTAATGTTTCCTAGTGTTTGCCCACTCTGGGAAACACTATGGCGAACCATTGGCAGGAAACAATGTTTCCGCAACAATGTTTCCTAGTTTGATTTTCGTAGTAATACGTTTGATATGTTTTAAGTTATCGACTTAAGTCAGTTAACAAGCCGATGGATAATTTTGTCAACAGTCAAGACTAACTATATGCGTAGCTCGTCTGGAGACGGATAATCTGACGGACGGGACAAAGAAAAGATCGTTCATCTGATATCTTTGTTTCTGAGAAGATCTATCTCACATACCAGAGTATCGCTTTCGACCAATCATCTTCGTTTCCGTAAACACGTGACCACATACACAAGCCCTTTTCGAGCCGGGAACCTATATGGAAATATGTAGACATAAAAGTTAATTAAATAGCTGAATAGCACCGACACTGAACTCCTGGTTGGAGATATTTTACCATCAATGGTAAAAGGGAAGTGATTGCCCTTTACTGTGGTAAACGTCTTTGGGCCCGATCTGAGTGAAGGAGATAAAACTAGCTGAAAATATAAACAGAAATTCCACGCTCGGAGGCTCTTCCTCGGAAGGCTCTTCTCGGAAAGTGAGTAGGTTTAACCTACTAACTTTCGCTACTATATTCTATAATTTCACGACGAAGTGCCTTCGCTCGAAACGTCGAAGTTCTCCTTGTATTGTTCAGATAGTTGTGATAAGATATGATAGGACATCTTTATCACACGAAGTCCATTCACAATTACAAATATATGCTCTTCCATGGAGACGTGCATTTTACCTCGCATTTAACAAATATAAAATATATAAATATAGGAAAGAACTAAACTATATGTACATAAAATACATGAATTTACGAGATAACAGCTAACGTCTGTATTCTAAAAGCTCACTCACACTCAAGTGAGTGGACTAGCTGGTTCAATTTGAGCTTCCCTTGAGTATCAATGCTGTTTTTGAACAGCTGGAGGGTTAGTGTCGTACCTTACTATGTGACTATTCACCCTCCAGTTATTCAAAAACAGCATTGACACTCAAGGGAAGCTCAGATTGAACCTCCACTCATTGAGTGTGAGTGAGCTTTTTGAATACAGGCGGTAAACTCACTCACAGACTGTGCACTGGATATTTAGATGTGCATGTTGTTCCGCACGAAATTGCACCTCTATGGTTAAAACATTTCGTACGAAATTCTGACAGGGGCCTAGGAACTCCGCTGCTCGTTGTGTTTCGGTTTCATCATAGTATACTAAGGCTGGGGCTAATGGCTATGGCTTAGGCTGTTATACATGATACTTGAAGAACGCCATTATAAGTACAATAACGCAATCTATGTTGATAGTGATATTCTCTTTTCCCACGTTATTGTGCTAATAGTTAAATCTAACTATAGTACAGGCTGTTAAACATGTGGTAATATTTTACGATACATCATGTTAGACTGTAATTGTATGGGTAACTCAAGGAGTCGTGACAATGTTCTATTTAAACATGTCAACACATATCCCGATATAAAGTGAATACCTTTTTCCGTCTGCGCTTTGACAATAAACCTTCTTTCACTCAGTTTCCTGCCTTAACATTCCAGAAATTTAGGCTTCCACATCGCTATTTTTTATTACCTAAAATTTGTCCATTCCTATATTTGTGTATTCCTTTCACTTAATCTGATTCCGTCTATATGCTGATTCTGTAATCAAGCTTTTCTAAACCGAACCATATGCCCTGATAATTATAATCACATATTACTCTGTCTTAACTTGCTAGAACTTACATTTACATACTTCTTTCTTATCATATAATATTTGTTAATCTATTCCAATCTATTCCATGGCCTTCTATATATAACCTGATATAGTTTAGTTGTATGCGGAAATGATTCTGCATAAAGTCGTTTTCTTCTGAAACGATTAACTTTCTAACATATTCAACATTCACCTAATCCTTAACATGCCAGAAATTTCTACTTCTTTAGCATTCGTTTTATACATACCTGCAAATTTATCTGAACCCTAATGCTGCATTCATCACGTTGGTCCTCGAACGAAAATACGGCACAAAATCTACCTTTTCTGAGACGAATACATCCTTCCAACTTTCACCTAACATTTCATTCGCCCTAGCCTGTCAGAGATTTCTACTTTATACAACTTCGTTTTTGTCTTCATTTTCTCTATAATCTCTATTAATGTCTTCGTGATATTAGCCTCGATATCACTCTCGAACACTTGTATAAAAACCTCGCACATAAATCTTCCTTGTGGCCAAATACCATCTCCTAAGTTCTTACTTACTCCCAGCTAACACACACCTATTTCGGTCCAACTTGCCAGAAATTTCTGCTGCCTATTTCCCTTTCACATTCACACAAAACAACTCCTACCCTATTCTATCCTACTATCTTATTCCTCCCCAGTAAATCCCACCTAAAAACCCCCCTTCCCTAAAACTCCTTCAACACAATAATCTCCCCTACTATCATCGTTACTATACACCCAAATTACATAAGTTCAGTCAAGACATCGCCGATTAAATACCGATCCAAATCCGCCAACAAAGCTCTCGATTCTAAATACCTACCTTCAAGTTACATGCTACACATTGCCTCCAAACCATGACCCCTTATTCAGAGTTTATATTCACTGTAAAAACTTAGCTAAACACTGGTGCTAGCTCGGCAGAGTCGCAGGCAAATTTTGTGCTGATGTCGTTAGTTGTATCTTCGTTACGCGCCTAAAAGACTTGGGGGCGAGTATTAATATAACGCAGGAATATAAACATTTCCTAATCTACATAAGGTGCATGGGAAAACGTGGAGTCTTGAGATCTGGAATCAGTGAGTCCTGAATGTCCAGGTACTGGTAGATCATACAGTGTCTCTCCATCTCTGTCTTCCAAATGTTCGCCGTCCTTCTACTGTTTGTGTTCAAACAGACGCCAGACCCTGCCAACTTGACTAGATCTTTCTCTTCACTCTACCCTGGACACATTATTCTCTTAGTATTGATATTTTCTGTGTTGGTGTTGTGTACTCAGGTGAATATGATTGTTTGTGATGTTTCTCTGAATGTATATCCACACCGGGCAAGCTTGAAAAATATGCCTGGCCACGGTGGGAATCGAACCTACGACCTTTGGAATACTAGCCCAATGCTCTGCCAACTGAGCTCGGTTCGAGTATGTGATATTTCGAAACTGAGTCTTGTTCCTTCTCTTAGGTTTAGTATCTTCATTTCACAATATCTCTTCATCTCATCCTCGATTTCCCAACTATTTGTCATCCTTCTCTGGATATCTTCATGCTAACTCAGACTGGATCTTTTTCTGTATTCTATTCTGGACATGTTCGATCTTGGATTAAATCTCGTTGTCGTAGTCTCTTTACACGATTTCTTCATTATCACTACTTGATCATGGTGGGATTTGTACTCAGGTAGATTATATATATTGAGTGATGTTCTCCAAGTGATGTCCACATCAGACAAATAGAAAACTACTTGATCATGGTGAGATTTGTACTAAGGTGGATTATATATTATATATTGAGTGATGTTCTTCAAGTGATGTCCACACCAGACAAGTAGAAAACTACTTGATCATGGTGGGATTTGTACTCAGGAAGATTATATTTATTGGATGATGTTCTCCAAGTGATGTCCACACCGGGCAAGTAGAAAACTACTTGATCATGGTGGGATTTGCAATTCAAATTTTACTGATCCCGCTACAAGTCCATTTCCAACCACATTCCAGGGTTTTCACCGCCGCTTAATTTAAAAACTCGCAAGATATGCCCTGCAGGCAGTTACCACGGCAACTGTCTTTAATAATTCATCTTTTCGGTGTCAAATTGCGTCAATAATTGGCCATGTTTTTAATGATCGAAGTTTGTCGGTCTAATTTCGCTTCCCTGGCTACGAAATAACCGCTTAATATTTCAAAAAATATACGAAACAGTTGGTAGGTTGATATTTAGGGCCTTGGAGGGTTTAAAAAATGAGTTTTAGTTTTTCGCGGGAAACCATAAAGTCAGTAGGAACGACGACCCCCTGCGTCTTAGATATGTGTCGAGATATTAAGGAAGAGGATATTTCGCTGGCCTCACAATGACAATTGACAACACCTAACAAAGCAACGGTTTTACTAACACTAACACTAACCCTAATACTAACTCTATAAACCTAAGCCTACTCCAAGTTTGTTTCTAAACCAATCTTGAAGTTTTGACGAAATGTCATTCTGTTTCGCTGGCCTCAGAGTGACAACACGTAACAAAGCAACGGTTTTACTAACACTAACCCTGTTCCTAATACTAACTCTATAAGCTCTAACCCTTAATCTAATCTAAGCCTATTCCAAGTTTGTTTCTAAAACAATCTTGAAGTTTTGACGAAATGTCATTCTGAGGTCAGCGAACTATTAAACCTTTCCCTCGAGATAAACTCGTGGTTTTAGCGATATTTGGATGATTTGGATATTTGGCTTTTTTAACTGAATTCCTCTTCGACGTGCAGGTCCAGTGTAGATAGTATTCTGTAGTTTGTGTTATTATATGGCATGATATGAAGAAAAAATATCCGGTCAGTGCCATTGTTGGTAGCGGCGATAAGTGAAAAATATATGGAAATGTATAGACATAAGAGTTGATTAAATAGCTGAATAGTACCGACACTGAACTCCTGGTTGGAGATATTTTACCATCAACGGTAAAAGGGAAATGGTTGCCTTTTACCGTGGAAAACGTCTTTGGGTTTTAAACGATCTGGGCCAGTGTGTATGTAGATACGATAACAAGACGGGTACATGAGGAGATAACTAAACTATCTCAAAAAAAATATAAACAGAATTTCGAAGGCTCTTCCTCTGGAAGTTTGGAGGTGAACTATGTCTTGAATGAAACGAATGAAAGACGATGAAAGAATGAAAGACTTCAGTTATTTCACGAGGGTAAACACTAAACAGTAAAACTGATTAACTTGTGGCCCTATCCTAACGAAGCTTGCATATATTTTTTGCATACAATTAGTTGTCTGACTGATAAGTTGTTGCAATAAGTTTAATATGCTCTCTGAAAAAGTATAACAACAAACTCTTTCATTTTGTCAAATTGTGACGCATGAAACATCTTGCTGTCATCGTGCTCATGACGTATACTGAAGAAACTAGCTCCGGCGCTTATAAGTAGTTCAGTTCCGTTTCATTGTTTTGCATAAATCATGAAAAAATTCACTCTGGATCAAGAAGGTTTTTAAGACAGCAAGCGGTAAACAAAGCCAAAGGCATTATAAGTTCTCGTATCTTAAACGTGGTGGTCCAGTGTAGGTAGTATTCTTCAATAGGCTGCCGTGGTTTGTGTCTGAACTACCTGAAAAAGATATCTCAAACGCGGTGGTCCAGTGGCAGTGTAGGTAATATTCTTCACTGCCGCAGTTTGTGTCTGAACTACCTAAAAAAATTCGTTTTGGGCCTTTGTTTGGTAATAGTTAGGTTTAGTTGCGTTACAAGACTCCAGACAAGGGCCTTCCCTCGACTATAGCGGTCTGCCATCTCTTGTCTCGTCTGGGAGGTTTGATCTTCTTCAGGCAGTTCAGACACAAAATACGCGTGACACTTGACAGTTAATTCTCATTGGACCGTTTTTCCGCAGCGGCGCAGCCCTTGATTAAAACGAAGTCCGTTAGTATAAATAACACAACGATTCCAATACTATACTGTCATCCTTTATATTGCATCCTAACTTTTTCGCTAAAAACACCAGCTCATCTTTAAATCACACGCTAATGTACAACTGTTTTCTAGTTATAAATACATCGCGTAGACAAATGTTGCCAGGCTACTATTGTTTGAAGCAGATTGAAAAACTCTAATCTCGCAATTATGTAGCTTCAAATTCTATACACGTATGCAAATCAATTAGAGAAAAATGCGCACTTAAAGTCTTGAATATTCAATGTGTGCTTATGTGAAATGAAGCAAATAATTTGACAGCTAGCGCCATGGGAGCCTTCAGTTTGTTGCTGAGATGAAGTAAGATGATAGGGCTATTGCATTGTTAGTTCTTGAACTTTATACTGCCTTGTTTTCTTAAGTAAACTCGCTGACACGTTGATAAATTCGCTGGGAACAGACAGTTTATACAAAGGAATTTTAGGATTTGGCTCTGAATCTAACTCTAGGCATTCATATGGAACAAGTTCTGTGATTTAATGAATTGACGGGAAAGGAATTTTCGGATGTGAATATCGGTTTGATGTGGTTGTCTTTCTTTCGTCATGCCGTTGTCTTGGAAGTCTGTATGGGATGATTTCGCTATGAGCTACAGCGCAGCGAAACCTGACGGTGAAAGGCAGAATGTTAAGACAGGTAAATGAGCAATGTGTTTGTGTATATAGTTATAGTTTCACAAGCACTATCACTTCAGCAGATCAGATGGTCAACCAACAGTATGTAGCAGTCTCGTATTTGGTGGCAAGTGAATTGAATTGAGAGATATGGACTAATTCGGTTGCTTTTGTAAACTCTCAACTCATTTCTGAAGAAGATGCCATCTCGGTTGGCCGTTGTCCTGTAACGCTTGTGTTTGTGTTAGGTTCAGACATGTTGTCACCCGCACCGCAACTCAAATATAATAATACAGTACAAGTTTATTAAAGAAATGTATAATTTGTACATCACTATATTTATAAAGAAATGTACAATTTGTACATCACTATATTTATATAGTGCTGATGGCGTCGAAGTTTGATCGTGTATCTATAGTCAGCCGGTATGTTTTCGAAGGGAGGTTTGAGAACACACGCAATGCATGGTATAGGTGGACTTACTGAAAGTCTGCGGCCTGTGCGCATGGGTGATTAATTTTAAATATGACAGTATAGCTACTTTGTTGGGGCATAATTTGAGCAAGGATAAAAGTAAGGTTGAGTGGCTGACTCATGTCGTGTTGGTGACAGAGGTTTTGTATCTTGACTGTTTATGTAGTTTACACTGGCAAATGTTGCCGCGATTTTTATTGCGATTTTATTCTGTTGCATGTGAACACCCAGAATGTTCTGAGTGTATATCAATAATATCATACCCTCATTTGAACATTCATAATTCGTTCTCTCCTTCACTTCAAACAGAAGAAGGGGAAAATCGCGCTAAACAGCGCATGCTTGAGATAGTGAGGAAAAAATTGGTACAATTTTAGCGTCAGTATATACATGCGGAATTGTGTTGAACAATTATACTATTGTTGGTATGTGGTTATCACTGAAGCATAAATATACACTGATGAGTCAAAGATGTAAATAACCAAATCTGTACTCGATTAATATTTTACTTGTATGGTTTCCTATGCCTTAATAATGCTTTGATTTGTGTTGGCTTGAGGCAGGCGGTGATCTGGGGCAGTAACTCTTACTGAGGAAAAATCTGGTTGAGAGTGCTAATGCTTTACGAATCAGCTCATTACCACTGAAGCATGAATTTAATGATTCAAACTTAGCTTGTTTTACTTGTATTTGTTCGGTGTGTAGAGTTCCTATGTCTTCACACTACGTTTTAAGTATCTGGATTGCTGACTGTTAACTGGTGTCCTCAACGTTGGCGCATATTTGCATAGCACATGCTAGACTACGTGGCTATATATGCTTTAAACCTTGAACAAATACAGTAGATTAACACTGGAAATTTTTTCAAGATCATGATGTTTGTGATGTTACTCTGAGTGTATATCCACACCGGGCAAGCTTGAAAAATATGCCTGGCCAGGGTGGGAATCGAACCTACGACCCTTGGAATACCGAGCCCAATGCTCTGCCAACTGAGCTACGCGGTCAGGTCGGTTCGAGTATGTGATATTTTGGAACTAGGTCTAGTTCCTTCGATATCAATGCAATCTAGTAATCATGACTTTTCTGAGTTAGACACAGAAAAATCATTTTTCCAAATCCTTATTATGGAAATCACACTTTCCATCTTATGGATATAGTATGGATATATATGCTATGTCTATGGATTTAGTGATATAAAATCGCAAATTCCATAGAACGAATTTGACTATTTTTTTCTAGTGTAACGGCAAACCGTGGTGCTGCACTTTTAGGCGAAAACGTAATCTGATGTAGAAACCTTTCGTAGTATTATATAAGTTGCCAACGTTGCCCATGAGGGCTACATGTAGTGGGATTTACCGTCTCTATATCTACTCAAAAAGTTCTGAGTGGTCTGGGCAGGAACAGAGCTACAACTGCTGATATCAGTGTCTTAGAAGCCATATGTTTCGACATGCGCTATTTTCGTTAGTGTCAATGCCTTGTGGAGAAAAATTTCTAACAGTTGTTAAAATCACAAGGCTTTGTAGTTGTTGTTGGTTGATTTAATAAGTGTTTATCCACATTACACAAAGAACATGCAATTTCCACTGAGTCATGACACAAACAATATCAGTTCCTGCCTTGTCTATTTTGGACGCGCGCCGTACGTGACCTTGCATTTCCACTTAACCTTGCCTTAACCACGCCTTCAACAATTTTTTCGTCTAAAACGCTTTCGTCTTTTTCGCAGAAAATCAAACGAACACGAAATTCATCGTAATTCTGGTCGTCACAGCTTTTTTCGCCGTCAGTATCGTCTGCCTTCTCGCTGCCATCCTCTATAAATGGCTACAAAAACGCCGTCGGGATAAAGCGAAGGAAAAACTCGCCACCCCAGCTAAAAAACGTACCCCAAACTCGCCCCAGGATAAACCACGTCACGTGAAGCTCATGCGCTCCGACAGTTCACTGTCGGAGATCGTCGACACTAGTCGAGAGTCTTCGCTTCCTCCGACACCCTTGAGTCCACTCAGCGAAGAAGATAACTTATCGTTTCCGTTCGAAAGAGGGCGACTAGAATTTTCAATATTTTATGACCGTGAGAAAGAGTGTTTGAAGGCCACCGTTATCCAAGCTCATGGCCTACCACAACGCTCTTGTATATTCTATGTGGAAGGGACACTCTTACCTGATGTTACCACCCAACAAAAGACAAGTATTCGCTATCACAATCCCAGCCCTGTTTTCGAAGAGTCCGTTAAATTCTCGCTACCCTTCGAAGAGCTGTCTGAAAGGACACTGTGCTTGAAGGTGGTAGAATTGGATGGTTTTTCAAATAGACTGCCAGTGGGGCATTTGCTGTATTCGTTTGATACCGAGAATAATAATTATATGGACATGTTGAGAATGGACCAGGAACTGAGTCGCGGAAAACCTCAGGTAATTTGAGAGGACTATGGTAAAATCTTCAAAAAAACGCACAAGTTGTAACAAACCTGCAGCAGACTTGTAGCAGTGCTGTTCCAACAACTTGTCAACAGGATGTGTTCGCACTGCTTGTTCCCAGCTTGTTGACATGTTGTCAACGGCTTGTTGACAACTTGCTACAAGGTTGTTGAGCCCAACAGACTTGTTACAAGTTGTTTCAACAACTTGTTATCGTTCTGCAATGCAACAATTTGTCAACAAGTTGTGAGTGACAACCTTGTAGCAACTTGACAAAATAACAACATTGTTACAACTTGTTGACAAGCTCGCTACAAGCCTGTTGCGAACACATCTTGTTGACAAGTTGTGAGATTTTTACGTGTGTACCAGTGTAGCTACTGCCAGTGATATGAAAGCTGCGCAATGGACCATTTGCATTATGGACTAAATTTTGATCTAGACAAGTCTAGACAAAAATTTCATCACAGCTTGAAAGAGCGTCACAAAATTAGTAATATTCCAAAGTTTCGTTGCGAAATGTTGTAAAATGCGGATAATATAGCCTTGCGAAGTTTGTCGTTTTTCAGTCATTTTGTATTACAAACGGGAAATTGACAGCCCCAATGGGTATTGGGCTGTGAATTTCCCCCGCGTAATGCGAAAGGACTGAAAAACGGCAAACTTCGCAAGGCAATATTATCCGCATTTTACAACATTTCGCAACGAAACTTTGGAATATTACTAATTTTGTGATTCTCTTTCAAGCTGTGATGAAATTTTTTTCTAGACTTGTTTAAATCAAAATTTAGTCTATAATGCAAATGGTCCATTCGAAGCTTTGAGGATTATGATAAACACTGATGGTCATGTTTTACTATATTTTTTCCAGGACGATTCTGAAAACTCGAACATTGGCGAAATATTGGTATCTCTATGTTACCTGCCCACAGCTGGTCGTCTAACTCTGGTGGTTCTCAAAAGTCGCCTATTTCAAGCAAATAATGGCTTGCCAAGTAAGTTACTTCATGCATCTTATATTATTTTAATTAAAGAGTTTACATAACTAATACTAGTGCATTAAACACTCGATGTTCGTTCGGAAATGTGCTGGACATTGGACATGTTAGATGAGCTTGTTTTTGTAGCAACTTTAAAACGGAATGTTAGGGAGAGCCGTGTTAGGTAAAAAGCATTTGCAAGCTTATCCATTAAAAAAACTTTTAAAGAAACACATGCATGCCTCTTCGCTATATTCTTTTAAGTATTTTTTCAGATAACATGATTTTGGTTGCTAGAATGGTTGCGTTTCAAGTTGCTGAAAAACATGCCTCGTGTAACATTGTCTTAAATATTCCATCTCGCATTTCAAGTTTAAACTTATTAAACCCAAATGGGCTATGTATCTGATAGGAAGTTCGTCTGCCGACTCATTCTTCAAGTCGATTTAAAGTTCGTATAAATGTCTTATACTTTATTTTTCAACCTTCGTAAATCTTTCAAACTCGACCAACCGACATTTCGTTTCGGACTTTCGAGCGAGGCTTGTTTTCTGACTCGCTCCACGGCCGCGTGTTTCAATCCAGCTTCCAAAATCTCGTCAGGCTGCGCTGGATTGGCACTGAAAGACCTGGGGCGACTCTCGATCCCAGGAACGGCTAAGCTCTTTGGCCGCGTGGTATGCTCTGGAGCTTTCACGTGATTCTTATTTTTTAACATGTGATTGACTTTATGTACTTCGATCGCACCCGGCATGCTTTTCCGTCGTTCTCTATTGAAGTGGTAGAAACTTTTAAACTCACCGTTGCTATGCGACGCCATGTCATCGCTGCTCGAAAATAGATGGCGGTCTTTTGACTTCGGAGATTGAATTTCGATATAAGGTTGCCCTTTTCGTACCGGATCTTTGTACCTTTGGTCGTTTCTCGTATAGTCTGATACCGGCGGTGTACGTGGCCGAGTTCGATTTGTTGCGTGGATTTCTTCGCGTGAACTACGCGTGGGACGATTTGTCGCGTGCACTTCCTCGCGGCAAACACCTTCTTTGCGTGCAAGCCCACCAACCTGTTTTCTCACGAGAAAACTGCTCACGTCGACTCGGGAAACTTCGGGTAACGATCGGTACTCGAACATTAACGACAGATCGTCTCCTGGATAGTACTTTTTACCGTGTTGCTGACGTTCGTACCGCAACGCCGCCAAAACTGCTTGTTTTTTATTGTGAAGTTCCGTGATTTGTCCGTTCGTGTTTGTAATTGAATAATTATGCTCGTTTTTATCCATTCGTAGCTGAGTTAATTCGCTTTCTAACTGCGCGATAATAGTCTTGCATTGTTCTATATCATCTAAAGCCGATGGTGGGTTATTGAGAGCTAAGAACTCGATCACAGGCGGGCTTTGAAGCACATCGCGTTGTCGAGTTATCATGTACAAAAACCCTTGCAAGCCCTGACGTCTACTGTTTAAGAACCGCGGTTCAAAGTTGTCACCAAAATATCTTTTGGGAGGCAAACTGAATTCCTTGGCGGGAAAAATTCGCTTCAAGTCGCTCTTTAATTGATGGAATTCTCTGTAGCGACGTGTTATCAACCAGCCTTGTTTGTCGCCGTTGTGCACGTATATTTTGTACACGGTGTGGCGTTTGCACGCGGGTTTTATTTCGTGACACGTTATAGCGGTTTCCAAATCCTCGAACTGAGAGAAGTCCGATTGAATGTTGTTGACTTTAATTTTTGGTAAGCGTGTTAGCTCCATCGTAATGCGTGTTCGTTTACAGGTATTTTCAGCGAGGATGTGTTTTCGTTCCAAAAAACGACCACGCTATTTTTTAGGCTCTTTCTTTAAACCGCAAGTCCTGATTAGTATCCAGTTTGGGGCAAGCGGTTCACATGCACATTCTTTTCACAATAACTACAGGTGGTTGTTTGACGTAGGTTTGTGTTTCTTTTCTTTAAAACCAAGACGTTTGTGAAAGTGTAGCTGCTTTGGAGATGCACTTTTGCAGGCAAGCGCAATTTTAAAGTTCCGCCTTTTGAAGTTTCGAAGTGTTCAGTGTCTACTTTCTTTTTAAATGACAAACATTATTCATAATAAGCCATATCATTCATGATTCACAAACACGACAGCTGTTGTTTGACGCTTTTTAATATCTTATAAATACTGTTTCACAATCCTTTCTCCCGACCTCAAACGTCCTTTGAAATTTGAACTTTCTGTATAGAGAGCCGCTTTTGTTTACTTTTTTGAATGCGAGTAACTTTAGTTTTAATCACTCTTTCGCGATAAAGGCACGTATTCTTTAACGTTTCGACGCTATTTTCTTTTTCAAGCAAATCACCAGCAAGGTTTTAAAAAGCTTTCTTCGTAATTTGACGTAGTTTAACAACTTCCTATCACTGAAGCAAGTCATTAACTTTAATCTTCGTTCATTTACAACAGCAGGTGTTTTTTTGACATTTTGACGCCACTTTATATTCTCTAAACAACACCCACGATCCTTTCTCGTTATTGCCCAAACTCTCCTCACAAGTTTTGCCGTCTAAAAATAAGCTGTGCTTTGTTCCTCTTCTATCCTAGCAAGTTAGCAGATATAGGTCCGTATATTAACTCACAAATTACGACAGGTGTTCTTTGTTTCACGTCTAGCTTGACTCCGCTAGCTCTATATTCCACACACAACACACTTGAGCCTTGAGTGCTCTTACTTCCTCGTGTCAATCAAACCAGTTCCAGAAATCTTTCGTCGATTCCTCGAGAACGTCTCTACGTGATCAGACCCACCACGGTCCAATGTCTTTGCGAAGATTTTCACACTGTTTGCTAATTCGCTTTCTCAAATTATCGCTATCTCTTTCCTTTAGTTTTGATATTAAGCTGCAAATGAGTTTTTATAGATTAGTTTCAGTTTAAAATTTAATAACGGCTGTTTACAACATGGCCCGATTTACTTGACCACGTTGCCAAAATATTGTCCATGCAATTATAGACCCAATAACGTTTTAAACCTAAAAGTTGCGGCTTTTGCCTTTATTCTTTCACTAATTCGATATCAAGCATGCACGAAATGTACGCCAGTTTAAAATATTAGATATGTAAATTAAAACTTGGCTAATGCCTCCTCTATATGCTGTGAAAAGATAAGAAATTTATATTAAACATTTAAAAATTAGGCTATATAGTTCTTCAGTACGAAACTACAAGCATACTACTAGAGTTCCTAATACGTATAGACGCGCAGCATAATGCATGTATTTCGGTTTGAAGTCTTTAAAGGCCCGTTTCTACTCGGGAAAATTTTTCGCAGAAAGAAAATTCTGTAAAATTCGATTGGCCCGAAGTTGAAAATTTTCGACTTTTATAACAATGATATTTTGGGAAAATTTTTGTCCGTGGAAATTTTTCTCGAGCGGAAGTGGGCCTTGAGACTGCATGTACACGTTTAAATGTCTTCTTACACATGCTATATGGACAATCAATTTATTATAAACATGCAATATTTATTGTGCTCCAGGCTGTAAATAATTTCCAGTACACTATATATAGATTTATTTTTCGTCTAGTTTGATACTTATTTCATGTCCGTTGCATCTTTATAAGTCCATCATCATCATCATCAATCAATCCTCCAGCACTGTGTCGCGTAAAATATATTTAAATTTGAAATTTGTGATATCATTCAAGTGCCTCCCTAGATTGGCCATATAGATACGCGGTAAACAACTTCATTAATTCTCTGTTCAAATTTTTTTCTCATTATCATTGAGAAACAAACGGTTCAGTCGAGGTGGACCGGAATAAAATATACGCGGACATGCGTATATTAAGCGAAGACTTAACAGATTACAAAATTAGGAGCTGTATAACATCGTATCTAATCGATACAGACGGAATATAAAACGTTTAAATCTTATCTAGTCCATGGTAGACTTGCCCCATACTACTATACCATTGCCGTTCTTAAAAGTCAATAAAACTCTAGTTTTTGATAAACCGACATTTCCTATATGAAATATATGGCTAATCATATTTGAAAATAAAATGCCTAATAGAAGTGACTTTAGACTAAAATTTCTTTGATTCTGCGGTTGACAACCTCCTGAATTAGTTTGTGATTTTTAGTTTATGATTTTCAGCGCTTATATATAACGGATTAACTTGCTGTAATAAAACCGTAAATTAAGTTTGAATATTTTGCACGGCCAGGGTGAGAAATAAGGATTGTATACTCACCGCTGCTTTATTCCATAACCAACCGACATCGGTGCAAATCACTGTTGATTATAAACCATTTTTTGTAGTACCGAGCAGGATTTGTCCCAAGTTCTCGCTCTTGGACTGGTGGCGTTGCTGCTTGCGTCTGCTGTATATCTTGGACTTGCGTGTAAATTGAATATAATTATTTCTTTTGTCCACAATTTCCTATTCGTTCAAAAGATAGTCGATGCTTCGAGATCAAATTTCGCCCACTCTGCAATCTTGTAAACTGTATGAAACCTTGATCCTTTACTCAATTGCTTTGAACGATCTCTTGCAGTGCAGTTAATCGCGTTTTTTTGTGTAACAAACTGATATTTAAATATCACAAACTTTTCGTCAAGTGCCTCAGCCTTCAGCGTTTGTTCTGTTGCTTGCGAGAAATCCGAAATTCTTCGTTGTTTTTGCCTTTTTCTTCGAGATTTGACCCGAATATTTACTCTTGTTATCGTTTCCAAGCTCGTTACGCCCAAACCAAGGACGAAATTGCGTTTTGTTTTGTCGTCGAAAGTAAATTTTGAATAAATTGACAGCGCTTGCAGCGACCGGCGATGCTTGAGCCAGATTAACCAATCAGCGTACGTTTCGTTATCTTCATACATCGCACGCAGCGGCTGGCGTTGTGACAACTCATGAAATAGTAAACGTATTCAAACGTACATCTTTGTATGCAGGGGGGGAGAGCGCTGAGATGAACAAGGGCTAATGGATCATTTGCATTATGGACGAAATTTTGATCTAGACAAAAATTTCATCACAGCTTGAAAGAGCATCACAAAATTAGTAATATTCCAAAGTTTCGTTGCGAAATGTTGTAAAATGCAGATAATATAGCCTTGCGAAGTTTGCCGTTTTCAGTCATTTTGTATTACAAACGGGAAATTGATGCCCCAACACCCGATTGGGCTGTCAATTTCCCGTGCGTAATACAAAATGACTGAAAAACGGCAGACATCGCAAGGCTATATTATCCGCATTTTACAACATTTCGCAACGAAACTTTGGAATATTGCTAATTTTGTGATGCTCTTTCAAGCTGTGATAAAATTTTTGTCTAGATCAAAATTTAGTCTATAATGCAAATGGTCCATTCGTTGAGGATGTTCTTTATGTAATATTGCACGTAAGATTATATTTTTAGCACTGATAAAGCTATCCAGTATAAATAAAGTTAGTTTAATTAGGTTTCCTCCTGTAAAGGATGGCTTACACTATCAAAGTTTCTGTGATCACAGTAGGAATTTTGCATTAGGGAAATTCTAAGTTTTGAATGATTTGTAAGAAATTTTTGAGGGAACTGACTTAGTGTTTAACACTATCAATAACAGCTATCCAGTATAAAGAAAGTTAGGTTGGTTTAGGTTTCTTCCTGTAGTAAGACTGGATCAATAAGAGATGATCCTTACTGGATCTCTAGGAAGAACAGTTTAGAGCTGATAGAGCTATCCAGTATAAATAAAGTTAATTTGGTTTAGGTTTCTTCCTGTAGTAAGACTGGATCAATAAGTGATGATCCTTACTGGACCTTTAGGGAGAACAGTTTATAACTGATAGAGCTATCTAGTATAAATGAAGTTAGTTTAGTTCAGGTTTCCTCCTGTAGTAACACTGGATCAATAAGAGATGATCCTTACTGGACCTCTAGGAAGAACAGTTCAGAACTGATAGAGCTATCCAGTATAAATAAAGTTAATTTGGTTTAGGTTTCTTCCTGTAGTAAGACTGGATCAATAAGTGATGATCCTTACTGGACCTTTAGGGAGAACAGTTTATAACTGATAGAGCTATCCAGTATAAATGAAGTTAGTTTAGTTCAGGTTTCCTCCTGTAGTAACACTGGATCAATAAGAGATGATCCTTACTGGACCTCTAGGAAGAACAGTTCAGAACTGATAGAGCTATCCAGTATAAATAAAGTTAGTTTAATTTAGGTTTCCTCCTGTAGTAACACTGGATCAATAAGAGATGATCCTTACTGGATCTCTAGGAAGAACAGGTTAGAACTGATAGAGCTATCCAGTATAAATAAAGTTAGTTTAGTTTAGGTTTTCTCCTGTAGTAACACTGGATCAATAAGAGATGATCCTTACTGGACCTCTAGGAAGAACAGTTTAGAACTGATAGGGCTATCCAATATTTAAAAATGTTTTCAATTTAGTTTAGTGTTCTGCATGAATTGCCTCCCCCCCCCCCTCCCTCCCCGCATTGAAGGGCCGTTGGCGTGTAAACCTCATGACAGCTTTATTTACAACTCACGGAGAACAAGCAAAACAATGGTCGAGTGAATGAATAAAAATCGCAGTTCTCACAAAATTATCTTTGCGTGAATCAAAATATGATGTGAAAACCACAAAATACGTTTCCACGATTTCTCATCAATCAACTTAAACTGAAACGTCCGGCATAGAAATACATGCAGGCAAACCAACAACGGAGTCAAAAACATTCAAATAATGAACAGCATTGTCCTTCCTTGTTCATCACCAATATCTTCTCCAAGTGATGCCCACAACATTTTAAATATCGAAATAGGTTTGCGCTGGCGTAGGTAGTGGCAATAACATCAGAAAGTTGCGGCAGTCGAATTCCTCTCAATTCGCACATTTCTAAATATTGGAATAGCATTTCCTGAGCAAAAGGCAAACTGAAGTTTCTCCCTGGGCGACCAGATGGAATATCAGTTTTTGTTTGCGGAATATGAAATTGTTTGTGGAATGCAGATTACAGAGTAATTTTTTCAAGATATGATGTTGTTGAATAAGGGTTTAAAAAAACATGGTTTAAAAAAACTCCGCTTGGAATGCAGAATTTTTTAAAGATATTGGCATGGATATGTGGAAATTGTACGCTCCAAAATTCCATCTTATCCCCCGATTTTTTTATCATCGTTGACGTTCGTCCTGTGTCACCACATTGCGGTTTTTGTGATTGTGTACTTTTCTTAATCTAATCAACAAATTCAATTAATTTTTCACGAGAAAAACGTATTGCAAATTGGCTGGCTCAAATGAAATTAGTTATTATTGCGAAAATGCCGAATATTTATCTCTAAAGAGATTTCCTTTGTATGATAATAATATTCTAATATCCATATAGTGAGAAGAATTTAACCTATAATATTAACTTTATTTATACTGGATAGCTCTATCAGTTCTAAACTATTGTCCCTATAGAAGTCCAGTAAGGGTCATCTCTTACTTATCCAATGTCACTACAGGAGGAACCTAAACTAAACTAACTTAATTTATACTGGATAGCTCTATCAGCTCTAAACTGTTCTTCCTAGAGGTCCAGTAAGGATCATCTCTTATTGATCCAGTGTTACTACAGGAGGAAACCTAAACTAAACTAACTTTATTTATACTGGATAGCTCTATCAGTTCTAAACTGTTCTTCCTAGAGGTCCAGTAAGGATCATCTCTTATTCATCCAGTGTTACTACAGGAGGGGATTAAAGTGCAGTGTTTGGTAGAGTCAAGCTGGAAGCACTCTTCTCACATGCGAGGCAAAATTACTATCTAGACTTTTCATTGTTTTGAAAATCCCACTGTTCTCCATGTCATCCAGTCATGATCCAGTGATGAAAATGTTCCATTGTCTTATCATTGTTTTAAAAATGTCACTGTTATCCATGCCATCCAGTCATGATCCAGTGATCAAAATGTTCCATTGTCTTTTCATTGTTTTAAAATCCCACTGTTCTCCATGCCATCCTGTCATGATCCAGTGATCAGAATGTTCCATTGTCTTTTCATTGTTTGAAAATTTCACTGTTCTCCATGCCATCCAATCATGATCCAGTAATCAGAATGTTCCATCGTCTTTTCATTGTTTTGAAAATCCCACTATTCTCCATGTCATCCAGTCATGATCCAGTGATCAAAATGTTCCATTGTCTTTTCATTGTTTTGAAAATCCCACTATTCTCCATGTCATCCAGTCATGATCCAGTGATCAGAATGTTCCATTGTCTTTTCATTGTTTTGAAAATCCCACTATTCTCCATGTCATCCAGTCATGATCAAGTGATCAAAATGTTCCATTGTCTTGTCATTGTTTTAAATATATACTCCATACCATCCGGTCCCTATTGTTTTTTACTCCATTGAATATGCGTATCTTTTTACTCTTTATGAATAGGCGTATTCAATGTATAAAATGAATTTGGATAACTACGAGTTTTCTTCCATCCTAGGTTCATTCCTCAAGGTTTCTCTAATGCTGAACCGGAAACAAGTGAAAAAAATCAAAACCTCGGTCAAGAGTAAAACGTTAACGCCCGTATACAACGAAGCTTTTATATTTGACGTGCCCACACAGCATATTGGGAACGTTGGCTTGTACGCGCGTGTGGTGAACGTGAGGGATAATGAGGAACTATTGGGGAAGGTTGTTATAGGTCCCAATGCTAGGACGAGTATGGGGGTACATCATTGGGAATGTATGCTGCTGTCTCCTAGGAAACCTATAGCTCAGTGGCACAAAATTTTGTAATAAGTTTCTTTATGGTAATTATTTATTTGTACACAAGAAATTTAAGTGTCTGTTAACAAAAGGTTTCCAAGAACGATTACAATCAAAATGATACTGTAATATTGAACATATTTACACAATAAATAAATTATTTTTACACTTTCATGTGTTTTTCTATAAATTATAGCACTGTTCTGTTCTATCATTCGAACGTCAATGTTGCCTTTTCCTAATCAGTCCTTGTCATAGGCGTACGAGGCGGGGGGCAGGGGGGGGGTAGCTGCCCCCCCAACAAGATTACAAAGTCGAAAAGTCGGGCAAATGTTCAGCAAAAGTCGGGCAAAAGTCGGGCAAAAAGTAGTCAAACCCCAGTTTGTTGGGCAAACAAAGCCAGTTGGGCAATATTCACTTCACAGTTGGGCAGTATTTGGTTATTATAAAAATAAATGGAACAAGTTCTGGAAATATGTCAATTTTTCGATTTTTGGGAAAGTTTGTTTGATGTTTCGAAAAATTTGGGCATGTCCGAAAAATTTTTTTGACCCCTAAAATGGTACACTGACCGAAATTTTTTTGGCGACGGGGGGGGAAAGGTCGCCAAAAAAAATTTTCCGGAAAAATTTTTTTTCGGCACTAGTCGAGCATAATCCGAAAAAGTCGGGCACATTTCTTTCTGCCCCCCAATTTTTTCCTTCCCGTACGCCTATGGTCCTTGTAACAAGGTGATAACAACTTGTTCTAGCTCAACAACTGGGAACAAGCAGTGCGAACACATCCTGATATCGGCTTGACAACAACCTTGTTACAACTTGTGTGAAGATCTATAACAAGTACTAACAACTTGCGCATTTTAACGTGTGTAAATCACAGAAACGTAACGAGAGCCGTCGAGTGTTCTTCACTAACTTTAACAGCACCGCTTTACAACCTTTGCAATGGCTTTCTTGAATCTTTGGTTGCGCAACACGTAGAGGAATGGATCTAGGGAGCAGTGAATCTGAATGAGCGTGTTCAGCGGATGCAGCCACGTATGAAACGTCGTGTTATCTCCGCCAGAAAGACGTTCATAAAATCTGAAAATTGTGGACGGTAGCCAGCTGAGTAAGAAGACTGTCAATAATAAAGCGATAGTTTTAGTCGCTCGCATGTTTGAAAGCAATTTTTTCCCCTTGTCATTTGACCGTGAGTGTTTCCATATCTTCTTCACCTGTTTCCTAGCGATGATAAAAATTGAAACTTGTGTCGCGACGATGGAAGCTACGATCACCCCAAGAATGCTGGGAAACACAACCGCTGACAGGTTTCGTTTAAAGTACGCGGTCGCGCCCATGGCGAATGATGCCAACCATATCCCGCTGATCACGAAAAACGCGGTCCGTTTGGAGATGATATTTTCATAGCGAAGTGGCCAACGTAGTACAATATAGCGATCCATAGTGGCTGTGAGAAGGCTCATAGAGCTTGCAGAGAGAGTGGCTTGGCCGATCGCTCTTCTGACGGCCCACTCGTAAGGCTGATTCGGTTCTCGCGCCAACAATCTACGTATCACAAAAGGCTGAAACAGAACGCTGGCCAGAAGATCGGAGACGCAGAGACTCGACGTGAATACGTCCGTGGTCTTTCGGAGATCTGAATGGCTGAGAACTAATCCGATTAGAAATACGTTAGCCAATGTGGCGAGCATGATTCCAACGAGGTCAAGTATTGAAAACACCAGCGCGACCGTCAAGTCGATTTGAACGAATGGGATGTCAATGGATGTGTTGGTATATTCAGGAGTAGGTGTGGTGGTTGCGTTTTCTCCAAGCGTTGAGAAATTCATCCCTGGAAAGAAAATGTTTAACTTGAGCTTCTGCATTAACACAGATTTTTCGGGCTACCTAGGATTGTACGATACTGCGTGTTAGCAAAATAAATGTATCATAAATGAAAAAACGTTTATCACATTAATACGAAAGTGAGAAAGTTGCTCTTTTCTTGTATTTGGGGCAAACAAGTTGAATTGTTTGAAATAAACATAGTTAGTTGTATATGTAGTAGCCGATAGTTAGTTGTATAATAGTCGGCACAAAAAAGACTAAAATAGTTCAAAATTCAATAAAATGTCATTGTGTTACCGTGAAGATATTGCAGCAACTGTTTTTGTAGCCCTAGGTGTTTATTTAAACCATGCGATGCTCAATCTTAGCAAGTCTTTATTATTGGAGCTATAAATGATAAAGAATTATACGTCACTATAATAATAAAGACGTCATTACGCACCTGCAAGTCGACATTCGCAACGCCTTGCTAGAATATTTTCACGGTAACAAAATGAAATTTTATTGAATTTTAAACTATTCTAGTATTACAATTAACTATCGGACCTCCCATGTTGAGAGAAGTGTTTTTCTTGCTGTTATAATCGTCAACAATTAACGCCCTGCAGGAAACCCACTCGCTTTTGCCATTAAAATCGGCTGATATGAAATATTATTTCCGTGTGTTGCTAGGCAACCATTCCAAAAACTGTCCCAGTGAAAGGATCGAGTTCAGTTTTCTATATAGAATAACTGAATAAGTCATCGGTACACATTAAAGCTGCCATGGTTTCAATCTAAACCATACCATCTACACTGGACCACCACGTTTGAGATATCTATTTCAGGTAGTTCAGACACAAACCACGACAGCTTATTGTAGAATACTACCTACACTGGACCACCACGTTTGAAAGATCTTTTTCATGTAGTTCAGACACAAACTACGACAGCTTATTGTAGGATACTACTTACACTGGACCACCACGTTTGAGATATCTTTTTCAGGTAGTTCAGACACAAACCTCGACAGCTTATTGTAGAATACTACCTACACTAGACCACCACGTTTGAAAGATCTTTTTCACGTATTCGCTAACTATATATGGTGTCGCCTGTGTGGCAATAAGGCCACATAAAATAAATTCCTTGATTGTTTTTAGTGCCATTTTAAACTGCCAATTTCAAACAAATAGAACCTTGAAAGAAATTTCATTGCATTTTAACGGAACTTCGCATTCAGTTCAATCAAGGGTTCAGTCATTGTTCGTGGAGAAATATGTCCATTTTGGTTTGTGATCGACACTTCACTTTGGAAATCACAGAAATATTTAGGAATTATTATTTTATTTATTGATGACAAATTATATAAATATAAAATATAAAATTGATAAACCTCCCGGCTCTTCGACATTTTCAAAGTCTAGTGATGAGAATCAAGGAATTTATTTTATGTGGCCTAAACCTCGCTATATATAACTTAAGGCCATGCATGTTACACGGAACATTTTTAATGCAGATTCCTAACGAAACCATTACCGTATATACCGAACAAATTTCGTTTCCATTAGTAGCATCGTCGTTGAAAATCATTCCGTGTAACATCGCCTTTACCATGTGTACAGTTGCTACAGTGCATTTTCACCACAAGTGCAAAATCTACATGGTCAGTAGGTTTGCATTTCTTGTCCTATATGTAGTAGCGCATTAATACAGTTTTGAACGGCAAATATTTCAGTCTCTTATCGCTAAGCATCAGAATAACAGCATGACGCACTAAAAAAACTAGCATATAGTTAGGAAAAGATCTAGGTTAAAATTTACTTCGAACTTACCGTATTTTAGTCACGTCTTCGTTTGAAATCTCTAATCTACTATAACGCGGGGGAGTATATATATAAATATATATAATATATAATATATAGACATCCTGTCTGTAGAAATTGAAATGTTTTTGCCACCCTTTTTCTGAACAAAGAAACTATTAAAAACAAAATACGTAAGCATTTTACTATAAAAAAATAATTATACCTTCATTATATATGTATATAGGCCTATACAGGAGCTAGGTGAAACCTTATTTCCTGAATATATATACTATTATGTATTTTATACTTTATTTATATAATATACTCTATTTCATTTACCGTTATATATTATTAAAGATCTGGTCAAACAAGGATGAATAAAAAAAACATGTTGACGGTGAGAGTTCAATAATCAGTCATGAATTATTCCAGGGAGATTTTAAGCTCTAGATTAACAAAATAAAAGTTTGATCAGTGTTCCAACTATGTTTTAACTTAAATAGAATACATGATTATAGTGTTGGCGGAAAAAATTAAGTCTTAAGAACAGCTAACCATGGTCGCGTGACTGCTAACTCTCATGTACTGTCATCCTTGTTTAATTAAATTCTAAACTCCTGTTCCAAGAGGCCCAGTGAGGACCATCCTTCATTGATCTAGTGTTACTTATACTACAGGAGGAAACCTTAACTAAACCAACTTTATTTTACCACGAGCGCCTGCTTAATTTCTTCACAACTTTCTGTATGCAAGTTGGTCAAAAGGAATTAACAATATATAGTTTGAATTATTTCAATATTTTAAACCGAATGCCACCTGCAACAATGTTTCTTCTCTTGTTGTGTCACGCAATCATAAATTTATTTGATTTACATATCAATGAAACTATTTGTCCTGTTTTCATGGCCATGCCCAATTGCCCATGGGCAAATGTCGCAGGAATTCGTATTCAGGCAATTACGTCGAGCTAAAAATAATTTTATAGTTCCGAACTTTCGAAACTTTCGATTTGCCGTAATTTGATTTGGAGATCATTACGACAAATGTCAAACCGCTAACGAAGTTTTTTATTTTACAACTCTATTATAACAGCTTTTACACCAGTTTTGAAATATATTAAATAATCATTGATCTTGTGCTATATATCAATGATTTAAGAAAGCAAATCAACCACTAGTCACATATTCACCAAAGCAGTAAATCAAGATCTGGCGTTTGAAGTTGACGTTTGGCGTGTAAATTATATGCTTGAACTGCTACGAGGGCTTGTAGTCGTTAAAGCATGAAATTTATACGCCAAACGTATAAAACTTCAAACGCCAGATCTTTAATTTACTGCTTTGGCGAATATGTGACTAGTGAGTAGCGGTTAATTTGCTTTCTCAAATCATTGCTAAAGAGCACAAGTTTAATAATTGTTTAACATATTTCAAAACTGGTGTAAAAGCTATAATAATAAAAAAGTAAGATAAAAAACTTCGCTAGCGGTTTGACGTTTGCCGTAAACGTCAATCTTAAGGTCTCTATTAGTTTGGATTTTTTTCCAATAATTGTATGTTGCTTTTTAAAGATCCATGGTCATAAACAGCAATAAGATCCTTGACCTTGTAGATTTGCGTGGTAAAATATATATAATTGTTTTGTTTTGTGGCACGTTTATTTCCTTGCCCCCCGCTTTGGCGAACCTTTTGATCCAAGTCCGCGGTCTTCATTAGCCTGCTTCATTAGCCTTTGAACGAATGGACAACTTGCATGTTAGACTAAATTTTAATCTAAGTATAAAAGAGAAGGGAATCAAACACTATACAGCTAAAAAGAACACAATGTAATCAGTAAAATTGCAAAATTTGTTTGCGAAATGTTGTAAAGCTTGGAAAATATAGCCTTGCAAAGTTTGCAAATTTTGTATATGTTTGGCCGAAATTGTTACCATTTTCGGCTCAAAAATTAATGATAACAATTTCCCGCACGATATACAAACATATACAAAATATGCAAACTTCGCAAGCTTTCGTAACCAAATTTTGCAGTTTTACTAATTTTAATAAGTTCTTTACGGGAATTTACTTTTTTTGCCTGGATCAAAAATTAGTCTAAGGGACCGGTCATTATTTATGGTGGGGGGTGGCACCGAAGAGAAATGTTTTTCGTAGCAAAAATTTTGCTGACCCAACCATTAAAAAGTCAAAAATTTGATTACCCAACCTCAAATAACAAGTAAAAAATAAATACCCACCCCTGGCCAAAATTAAACTTTACAAAAGATTACCATTCAGTTGTCACATATGTCCTTTACCCGATTTCTGTGACACTGAGGAGTTTGATAACTGCTTGTGAAATTTGCTGCAGTCTAATGTATCATGTTGTCTGCACATGTGCTTTCTTTGAAGACACCATTTGTCTTCTAACAAATTGGAAAATGATCAAGACAGTGACTGATTGATTCACATATTGTATTGACATATGACTATAACTTTTTATTACCCAACCCTTGAGTTGTTTTGTTTTTCATTTACCCAACCTTTTACTTACTCAAAATTTAGTTTACCCAACCATTTTCTCTTCGGTGCCACCCCCCGCCATAAATAATGACCGGTCCCTAACATGCAAGCTGTCTATAGCTGGCTGCGACCAGGCTATACAGGGTGTATCAAAAAAAACTGAACAGATTTGAAATTGCTCTCAATTTCGCAAAACACCTATTTGTATCTGGTTTTTTATATATATAGCTTCTTTGGGTACTTATAATGTAAAATAATGAAAAAAAATTCTCTAACTCAAATTTTGTGAACCAGGGGAGTGTGTCTTTTCCAACAAACTAAAAATGGCTCGCGCACAAAAGTTAAAAGCTGTAATCATATTTTGAGTTAATAGGTTGAAAATTTGTCCGGTTTTTAATTACTGTACACAATTTCAGACAATTTGGGTTAGTTTAAGCCCTTTAACTATTCATTTTGTTCTAAAAAGTCAGCCTTTCCATTCCTTAATTAATGCCTTTACCTAATTTGCATATTGCTGACATATGCAAATTAGGCAAATGCATTAATTAAGCATGCAAATAGCTGATTTTTCGGGAAAATTGTAACTTTGCGTGAATAGTTAAGGGGCTTAAACTAAACCAAATTGTCTGAAATTTTGTACAGTAATTAAAATCCCGATAAATTTTCTATCTGTTAACTCAAAATATGATTGCAGCTTTTAAATTTTGTGCGCGAGCCATTTTTAGTTTGTTGGAAAAGACACACCCCCCTGGTTCACAAAATTTGAGTTCGAAAAATTTTTCTCATTATTCTACATTATAAGTACCCAAAGAAGCTATATATATAAAAAACCGGATACAAATAGCTGTTTTGCGAAATTGAGAGCAATTTTAAATCTGTTCAGTTTTTTTTGATACACCCTGTATAGGTCTTCATTGGCGTTATAATGATTCACATGCACTGCGTGGTAAAATCCGCTCAGGATTACGGATCGAAAGCTAATCCAAAAATAAACGTGATGCTTCCACATGCAATAGCAAACAATTATTTTTTCCGCATACAATTCAACAAGGAACCAGAAATTTACACACCTACAAAATTATTGAAAAGATAGAAAAGACGCAGCCAGGCTGAACGACATATTTAATTCAAGGAACGTTCTCTGCCTCTGGCTGTAAGATTTTATTTGTTTATTTTATGCTTTCGGCTGTGAGTCCATAGCCTTCGACGGTTATAAGTCTCCGCGACCTTCGCATTTCTAGAACGACGCTCTATCTTCTGAGTTACAAGGCCAAGTTGAGAACGATATGTTATTTATTTGTGATGTTAATGACATGAACGAATTTCTCCTGTTCCTTGTCGCTCAGAAGATAGAGCGTCGTTCTAGAAATGCGAAGGTCACGGGTTCGATTCCCAGCCGTGATACTCGTAAAAAGATCAAAACACCTACGTACACATTACATCACGTGTAGAATCTCAAATATATATATATATATATATATAGTTTTTCGTTTTACCTCAAAAAACCACAACAGTCTGTTTCATCCGTATAGGAATCATTGTCTGTTTCATCCGCATGATTCCTATACGGATGAAACAGACTGTTGTGGTTTTTTGAGGTAAAACGAAAAACTATATTACGCTCTATCCATATGGTATTGAGCACTGTTTGTGTGTGTGTGTATATATATATATATATATATATATATATATATATATATATATATATATATATATATATATATATATATATATATATATATATATATATATATATATATATATATATATAATAATAATAATAATATTTCAATTATATAGTGTAAAAAGAGTGCTTAACATCAAGAATTTAACAGAGCAAATAGTATTTTAACTTAAAATTGAGTCACAACTCTGAGTTTCACGCTGAATGCGATCATCAGGTGACGGTGTTACAAGTGACGGTTCAATCTTCCGTATGATGACGTTGGATTATATGCGTGATGGCGCAGCGCGCGCACGTTCAAATTTTCCCGCGAGGAATCGCTTTTTTCTCATTCTCTTAAGTGGGACATCCGCTCGACTTGCTGACAAAGCAAGAAAAGATCTTCACGAACTGTTTGAAGAATTACATTTGAAAATCACCGCAGAGATCACACACCAATCCGTCAACTTCCTTGATGTCACTTTTAACCTACGCGATGAAAGCTATCAACCCTATCGTAAACCTAATAACGACCCACTTTTCATAGACAGCCGTTCAAACCATCCTCCTGCAATCACGAAACAACTTCCAACTTCAGTCAACATGCGGATTTCACAGTTATCGTCCAACCAAGAAGCGTTTTCAAAAACCGCTCCTCTGTACGAAGCTGCCCTCCACCGTAGAAATTACCAAGCGGATTTGAAATATTTCCCTCAAAATTCGAATAAGACCAGGACACGATCACGTAACATCATTTGGTTTAATCCACCTTATAGTACGAACGTAAGAACCAACGTGGGTAGAAATTTCTTAAGTTTGGTCGACAAGCATTTTCCGCCATCAAATCCATTACACAAATTTTTTAACAGGAACTCGGTGAAGGTTAGCTACAGCTGTATGAACAATTGTAAAAGCGTCATATCCAAACATAACATCGGTATCCTGTCCAAAAGTAAGACAGCTACAGCACCAACAGCGAACGGCAATGATAACTGTAACTGCAGAAACACCGACAATTGTCCACTCCAAAAGAATTGCCTGATAGAAAGCGTCGTATATAAAGCAGAAGTCGAGGTTGATAAGAAGAGTACCAAAGAATATATTGGCATGACTTCGACAACCTTCAAGAAGCGCTTTGCCAATCACAAAACCACGTTTGAAAACCCAGACAAACGTAATTCCACCGAGCTATCCAAATACATTTGGCAATTAAAGAAAGAGAAACGCAGATTCAGAATTAAATGGACAATACTAAAACAAACACCTTCCTATCGCAGCGGCGCAAAAAACTGTGATCTTTGTCTCCAGGAAAAATTACATATCCTAAAAGGTGACAAGACAAAACTGTTGAACAAAAGGTGTGAACTTTTCTCGAAGTGCCGCCACCGGAAGCGATTCCTCGCGGGAAAATTTGAACGTGCGCGCGCTGCGCCATCACGCATATAATCCAACGTCATCATACGGAAGATTCAACCGTCACTTGTAACACCGTCACCTGATGATCGCACTCAGCGTGAAACTCAGAGTTGTGACTCAATTT